GCCATACTCTTCACTTATGTTTTACAATCTACATGTTGTCGTCATAATACCTCCTTTACTGGCCGGGTGTGGGAACACATTTTGACAAATAAGCGCAGGTCTCCATTAAACGCCTGGTCTGGTTTTTATATAAGTTCTTTGCATGTATAAAACCTCTTAAACCCCACTGGGTTGCCCGCTTTAGTTGCTTCTAAGCTGCTTAGATTGTTAATACAAATATTAATGTTTAAACCTATAACCAGTATGTCAGTATGAACATGCACGTCGTTAGATTCTCCACAATACAATCGTTCAGTTCATTTAACAGAAACGACAAGCCCCAAAATCTAATTCTTATAGATTTACCAGTGACCGGCATGGTACAAGAGATAAAAAGAAAAGTGTCGACCCCCGTTACCTTTTTAAGCGCTCGTTAAGTCTGAATGTGTCCGTTCCTTGATTAATTAATTCCTTTACTCTGTAAGGGTCCACCGATAAAAAGAATCAAAACATTTTCATAAAAATGAATCCATGTAATGAATCCCGTCATGTGAAGTCCATCGCTCTCAGTCTGCTAACTTCTACCACACTTTTCTCATCCTGCACCATGTTGTTGTTTTCGTTACGTTGCTGCCTTCAAAATAAAAGCGCATAAGCAGTCTGTCAGAGCTAGATCAAATGAATGACGTGTATTTGGTATTATAGGATCACTTTTACACAAGCGATATTCTGTTTGAAATAAACTGTTTCATAGTAGCCCATTTCAGTTTTGTGCGAAATGAATTAAAGGTATGTCCCATATGGACGCCTGTCCCAAATATAGGCAGGTCAATTCAGTGATTTTTAGCAAATAACAGCCTGGGCTCTTAATCAAAGTTTTACGGTGCTATGGTCCTGGGGGAGGGTTCCCTCCTCTGTTGCTGTATCTGAGGTTTCTTTTGTTTTTTCCCACTGTTAAAAGGGCTTTTTGAGGAGTTTTTCCTCATTCAATTTGAGGGTCTAAGGATACAGGCTGTTATGTACTGTACAAATTCTGAAGCCTCAAATCGTGATTTTTGATATTTTGAGCTATAAATAAAATTTACTTTACCTGCGCTAGGCAGATCCAGGAGTGTTTGCATTGTGTGATTACAGTGTTATAGAGAACTCCATAGATTGTTTTGATAAAACAAAAAAGGGTGGGGTGACTGTGGGTCACCATGTTTATGTTGTCTGTGCTTACCATACAGATTTACCTTGTTCCTGCAACCTGACCTTAAAAACCTCTTGGGGCCCCAATAAGCTTTGGCGGATTAATTGCAAGAGCTTTTTTGCTATGTGAAATGTGGGTGAATGGGGAGAGAGGTGAAGGGTGGCAATAGAGTAACAACTGCAAATGGTTGTTGAAACCGATGCCTAATTTCCTCATGATTTAGTTGTAATAACTGCTAGGTGCTCACCGACTCAACAGGTTCTCTAATAGAAATACAAAGTCAATACATCGTTTCCACAAGGGTCCCAATACCTAGTGTCTATCTCAGCGTGAACTGGACCACCCATGCTATAAGTAAAGATAGGAGTAATTTGGAAATCATTCAGAAAGCGAGTGTTGGCATCATGTAGGGAATATGTGAGCAGTTCAGTGGCGAGGGTGAGCGAGCGAAAGGGTAAGGGGGAGAGAGCCTTCTTGTCCAGGGCCCTTCGGTAATGAGGCTCCAGGGAGATAAATCCTTATGAGACCTGACAGGGTGCCACATTCCTAGGCTGAGAGTCCTAGCAGCCCTCCCCTTCATGCAGCTGAGCTCTCTAGGGCATTGCTTTATAGATTTCTGATGTTGTTCCCAGACCAAGCGTTATGCCCATTACAGTTCACTCATCTCCCTTTTCACAACAACTACAAGGATTTTAACGGAGCCACCATTTCTTTTGCCTGTTGTGATTATTATGCAGAAGTCTTTGCTGACAGCATGGGACCCTAATGTGTTGTTTCTGTGTTTAAAGGTTGGCGTATAATAATATTATTTTTGGGGGCATATAATCAACAGTATGTTATTGCTGTTGCGGTGATGGGCCAATCACACCCATTATTATATCAAGGTTCTCAAAATTATGTTATAAGCTGTCAAGCTACAGTCAGACTAGACAGAGATTTCTAATTGTTTATGTCAGTAGAATTACACTGTTGTTTGAAGTCAGCCTGGCAGGCTAGAAGCTGTCTGTGTGCTCTGTGCTAGTATTTCCACAGCCATTCCTAAAATGGAGAAGGAGGGTGGGGGGTAGGAGGATGAAATATTGGCTTGCCCCTCTGAAGGCTGAGGCCCTCTCTACTCTGTGCCGAAGACGAAAGCAGCAGAGAGGGGAGAAGGAAAGCACGCTAGAGTGAGGTGACTGAGTTCATTCTCAGTGTTGGCGCTGAGCCATCGACTTGCCTGTGGGTGTCTGTAGCACTGCCAGTGCATGTGTTCAGCCTTTCGTCTGGAAGGCCCCGTTCGCCTCAGAGTTTATGTCAAAGCTCTCTCATTGTGTCGGCCTTCTCATCTTGATTCAGGTTTTTTGTCCTCTACAGATCTTGTGACTGCATCAGACTTTATTTTCGTCATTCTCAGGGGAATCTCTATGGACTGGACAGTCATCAAAGGGAGGCTTTCAAAAAGGATGGCTTATCTCACCCTTGCTTTGTCTTGCTGGCCTTGCTGGTTGTGCATATTTGTATGCTATGTCAATATCATGAGTTTTCCTCGTCTAGTATTTCACCAGCAGTGAGGTCTACCCAAGGACTTTAGCACTACCCTTTGTGTGGTCTGTTTATCCAGGTCTGTCTCACCAAAAGATGAGTGCACCAGTGTCTTGAAAATATTTGAAGCCACAGTTTAGACTTGACACAAAGGCGAAGTCCCTAGTTCGTGTGAGAATCTCGTCAGTGTTTTCTTATCTCGTGGCCTTCCTGAGTCTATGTTTACAGAGCTTCTCTGTTCCTTGAAGGCAGAGCCATGTTCAGCATTTCATAATAGAGCTCTTTGCGTAACTGAAATCAAGTGACACTTTGTGTTTGTGACAGTCGAGCAGGAAGGAAGGATGGATAATGCCCTCCTTTGTACTGCAAACGAGTCAAAACTAGAGTCAGACAATGGCGACTGGCACACTGGCACTACAATAGATCATACTATGCCTACGATGTAGGCACCTTGTGGTGTCATCAGGTCTCATGTTCATAGTGCTGTAAAAAGTGCTTGTTTGTACTCTACTGGCTGCAGAGCTAAAACACTCACCCTGTCCCAGAGCTAGACACTGAACCTATATCGAGTATCAAAAAGCGCCTTGAGGATCGTTACCAAATTTCGATACCTAAGGAGTAAATCTTATCAGGATCAGTGAGCATCTGTAAGCATGCCCACGTGCTTGTACCATGATGTAATAATGCTGGTGATTGGCTGTCTAATGTTAAACGTCGTAGAGGCATGCAGGAAAAAATCTACATCACGCCCAGCAATGGGGCTCACTGTTGTTTTTTAACACCATCTGCTTATCTGCACAGATGAATAAACTTTGGGCTGCTTGTTGGAGTATCGTTCAAGAAACCGGTATCAAATTTAAAACAAAATAGCCTACATTGAACAACAGAATAATAACAGGATTTCAGTGGATTTCCTATTCTTGATTAATTTACTAAATAATCATTTTTAAGGATACAGATTGAATATCTTATCACATGTCCAATTTTCTTAATGTTCCTTGTTATGGTTATTCACTATTATTTTTATTTATATATTTTCTATTTTAACACACCTATTGAAGTAAGCAGTTACATTCAGTAGCATCTGGAAATAAAATGCATGCGGACCTTTTGGTTGTCTCAGAGGTGGTGGCGGCTTTTCCCGATGAGTTAACAGAATTGTAGTGCACCTTGAGGACTTTGCTATCGTGTCAAGTTTTCGATCAGTGGTGTGTTGAGAGCCCGTATTTCTGCCACTGTGCCTCTTGTTGTGTGCCCCGCGCAACACTGAAACATGAGTTATGATAGAGGAATCATTAGTCAGAGGCCCATAGAAATGGCAGGAGTCCTAATTTCTCTTTTGGCAAGAGTCGCTGGGACACATGTCAGGAGTCCACCCACTACTACTATCACAGCCTTTTAAGAGTGTCTGAGAATGGTGCAGTAACGAGCCAGAGCTGAATGTTGTCTTTTGTTTAACATCGAATTTTTGTTGAAATAGACCTTAAACTTCTTCAAATCGATTCCCGGTGATAGTTTGAAGCTATTTTCATAGGTCCAACCAAGTTCCTCTTCAGCATTGTCTCCAATTTTAACATTACAGCTATGTTTAGATGGTATGTGCTGTGATCTGCATGGTCATTGTAATAGACTTACAGCCCTCTCTTTATTTTCACTCTTTAACTCTCTGCAGAATAAATATCTCTCCCTTACCTTTTACAGAGGGGTATGTTCATGTGTGCCATGTGTGAGCTTAGTGGCTGTTTTTAACTTATTTCATCATTCTTGGGCAATATGTGAGAGACTTCTTGTAGATGAGACCGCTCAAGTTGGGCAAAACGTCATCTGGAGTTAAAATCTAGTGCCTGACTCTCAAGGCCTACATCTCTATCTATCAGTGTGTTATTTATGTTGCATCTAAAGGCCTATTAAACTCAGAGTATTTTTGGTTTACAGGCTGGCTGCTTGACTTTCCTGGTGTCTGTCTGTGAGTCCTCAGTGTGAGGACAGTGGGCCATTCAGTAAGCAGCAAGGGAGGGTTTAGTCTAGCAGGTGCAGGGGCTCTCACTTCTTTAGAGGGAGCAATGGAGGGGGGAGCAGCTGCGGTAGGGAGGTGATGACAATCTGATATCCGGAGCATACAGAGACACACACTTTCATCTCTAGCTACTCTAGAGGTGCTAGCCAGAAAACATCAAATTGTTTCCGAGCAACAGTTTGGCATATTGCATAATGTTTTATGTATTGTTTTTTGCAGGTATGAAGGTGCCCAAGGCAATTCCACTGATGTTACTCAAATGTTACATACTCCATGTTTTTTTTTCTACAGGTTGCTGGCTAAGAGAAACGGCCGATAATGCACGGCATCTGCTCTGGAGCCACACCTACTTCCTGCCTGTAGAGGAAGCGGCTGTGCCAGCATGTCCTCTCATCCCCAGTCTGTGCCACCGGGCCGGAGGACTGTGGACACACGGCACCTGCCAAACCCTGCCACCCTGCCACTGCAGCTGCAACGGGCACATACGGTAAGGGACCTGACGCACAGTGTGTTAAATGACACCAATTGTACTGCCTCAACTTAAAAAAACAACAACTAATGAGAGGGTTTACTAGAGTGGAAGCTCTAGCTCTGACTGCTTGGTGGATATTTAGTAAACAGGGCATTACTCTTAACCACTGGAGAGGGCCTGATCCCAGGGGCCCACTGGTGTTTCTCCAACAGAAACATTTCCAGGTTACAATGTTGTGTACACAGAACTGTTCCCTCATTAGATGTTTGAGGTGAAAGTTCATGTTGTCATCGTGGAGTCACATTAAGGCTTTCCCCATTATTTCTACTCACATCTCCTAATTATCAAGATTATGTTCTTCTACGTATCAAGGGCAGAGCTGTCCGTGCTTCAAAGTAGCGGCCTCTAGCTGATGTAGAAGTTCATTCAATGACCTTCAGTGTTGGCAAGGCTTTTTTTGTTCTTGTGTTGAGGGAGAATCCAAGGCTAACCCCCCAGGATCCCCAAATCATCACATTCAGAAGGTGATGAGGGTTGATGGGCTGTGTCCCACAATCCCTGAATAGCAGAGGCACAAGTTTACGGTAGCTGCATGGGTTACCCATGTGTGAGAAACAAATGGCAGGAGAGGGAGAAACAATAGCTGGAGAGAAAAAGATCAGATTTTACAGAAGAAACAAGGCAGGGAATGGGAATGTTAATGTGTTTTTATTATTTTGGGGGTCCATGCATCATTCTCAAGGAGAAGAAATGAATGCAGGGTATGTTGTTCCACGCTGACATCTTGTTCTTTGTATTCTAGGAAGTGGGACTGGTTGACTACCACTCTCATCATGCCAGGGACTACAGCTCCCACCTGGCCCAGCCCCATCGCCGCCGGCCTTCCTTACTTTCAGAGTTTCAGCCTGGGAATGAGAGGTAGGTGTGCTGTGCTTGTAAGGTCTATTTTCTCATCACAACACTCATTCCTTGGCGAGCCTGTAGTATAACTTGTATAGCACTCGGGTGATGTTTGTGTTTGTAAAGCAGCTGTCTGGTTGTTGGTCTGATGTTTGCTGTATGGCACACGATGAATTTCCGAAAGGACTAATAAATATCTATCACCTATAAACGTGCACAGCTGATCCTGTTACTGGGGTTTAAGTACTTCTTAAACGACGCATCGATGAATCATTGAAATAATCTATAGAAGCTTCTACTAAAATCATCGTTAGCTAGATGGCTCACTTCCTCTCATCGTTCTATTCAAAACATCTACGTGACAGATGGTGTTATAAGTGCAGCGTAACTCTTGTAAGGAATCCGGAGGTGCGTAGCAAGTGTTTGATTGTCCGAGTGGCAGAAAGTGACTGAAGTAGAGTATTTTCATCTTCTGCTGTGGATTGAAGATGGAATTATATGGTTAGTTTGTATCATTTTTTATTTAAGATACTAGATGCGTAGTGTGGCGTTCACGGTCAGTAAATGTAGGAATTCTATATCATTCACATGAAGTGGTAGTATCGCCCCTGTATCCTTCTCGAGTCTTTACAATTGTGGGACAAAGCATGCTCAGTGGAAGCGTCATGCAAGCTGCATTTTTATGCAGTATTATTGTACTAAAGCCTCTGCCTGTTAACCCTCCCCCACTGTAATCCTTATGTAATTGGCATCCGCAAGCCGTTCATCTGTAATGTTGTGTTAAACGGCTCTGCGGGGCAATGGAGCTTGCAGAGTTTTGCCATCTTCAATAGACCAACAATAAGTCAGGCAAAGCATTGTATGTATAGCACTTTCTCTCTGGAGATCCAGGTCTTATACTGACCACAGCTGTTTATTATTTATATAGCCATGCTTTTTTGGCGGATGAGTCTTGATGAGTACTTATGAATCATTTATGTCCGTGCCATGAATTTTGCATGATGCACAGAGGATAAGTCACAAGATAATTTGTTTCTCCTTAGTTGATTATCATGGCAGATTTTGCATATGTGAAAATACTAAATAGAATTTTTAAGAGGTTGATTTTACTAGAAATCACCTGGCAGATATTTGGTACATGTACTTTGTGTGTGGAGTGGGGGCTGTCTTTCAAAATATTTCTAATTTGTGTACCTTTTAGCCTGAGTTTTATCAGCAGACGGCAGATGGTAGAGTGACTCTAGCAGTGAGTGACCGTTGCGTGGTGTGGCGGCCTCTTTAAGCATCAATCAGATGGGATTATTTTCAATGTAAATCACAGAGCTGTGTGTTGGTCCTGTTTAACTGTTCAACTGCTGCCCACCAGCTTCTGATTTGCTGACACTCTGCTTTGGCAGTCACTCTTCAGTATATGTGATGCCTGTTTCTGCAAGACAGATGCCTTGTGCAACTTCTACAGTGAAGCAGAGAGGCTGTTTTTCAGTAGATAGGAAATAACCATGATATCAAAAGGGGCGACTAGCAGTTAGCCCACGTTTCTTTGTTGGAATAAACCGCTGGTCTTGCTGGCAGGCGTCCGTGGGTGGGGAGTCTTTCAGTTGAATATATCAGGCCTTCAGCATTCCTTTAGAGGGCTTAAAATCCAATCTGAAGACCTCATTCTACGTTCTCATTCAGAGTCTGAATAGTGAAATTCTGGCCTTGGCAATCCTTCAATCTATTCTCTCCTCAGATGTGTGCTGGTCTTTTCAAAAGTCTCAGTAATTCTGCACACCATGTCTCCATTTGTAGCAAGGTCAGGGTTGTTGCACTAACTTGGCTTTTGAAACTGCGCTTCCCTTTAGGGATGGCATTATCTCATTTTCAGTATGATAGATCTATGTATCCATCGTCTCCTCTTTAATTGTATTGGACTAAAATCAAGTGTGCCAATTAGTTAATGCTCCAAATGTATCCTAATTACAGGTCAGAAAACCACAACAGTATAATCATTGGTGAGCCAGTGTGCTAGTTGTTTGTTTCATCCTCCTCTTTACTCCAGGCAATATCTCAGTCACTCCGCCTCTTCCCATCTGTCTGAAATCACCCAGGCTACTTGAGAAAGGGATAGAATACATTTTATAGCAAGCATAAACCACTTAACAGGGTTTCTTTTCTGCCCAGAACAGAGAGTGGAGTGTAAACAAATCTGGCTCAATAATGCAAAATGAGTGTGTACAGTAGCTGCGATTATTCTTGTCATTTATCTGTGAACTTAATTTAAATTTTTTTAAATATATATCAAAGTAGCATTGTGAGGCTCCTGTTCAGACCTTAGTATGTGGATGTTTGGAAAGTTATTTAAATATTTGTACAAATGGTCCTAAAAAGGAATGCCCTTTGCTACAACTGTGATTTTCAGTAATGCTTTTTAAATTAATTATTATGTTTATTGCTATTTATTTACAAGGTTTCATTCTTTTGCTTGTACTGACACAGTAACAGCTAAAAAACAATGTGTGATTACTATTTCAAAAAGAAACCCTCTGAATTCTGATAAGGAATTTAGAGCATCAGTGCTGAAATACTCAAAAGTGAATTATGATGCATGTGAAAAAATTGCTTTCTTTTCCCACCCATACTACTACTACTACTACTGCTACTACTACTACAAGGCCTTGTGGATCCAAAAGTTACCTTCAAGAAAATAGCTTTCATTTATTCACTGCAGACTGTCCAGGATTTAACCAGAACAAAGAAATATGACCACATTACTCCTATTTTAGCTTCACTACACTGGCTCCCAGTACGTTTTAGAATTGACTTTAAAATTTTATCGATCACTTTTAAAGCTCTTCATGGCCTCTCGCCTTGTTATATTTCTGAACTTTTAGTCCCGTACACACCAGCACGTACCTTGAGATCCTCGGGCAGAGGTCTGTTGTCTGTTCCAGAGTCTCGACTGAAAACTAAAGGGGACAGAGCGTTTGCTGTCAGGGCCCCGAGGCTCTGGAGTCAGTGAACTCTTTTTCAAGTCCCTTCTTAAAACATACTTTTATAGGAGAGCCTTTCCCGATCTTATTTGACTTTATTTTATCCCTTTTATTCTATTTTACTAATTTTATATTTATCTTAAATGTGTATTTTAGTCTTTTCAATGTTTTCATGCTTTTATCTTTTATTGTTTTTGTATTATTGTCTTTTGGGTATCATTGTCTTTACACTTGTTAAAGCACTTTGTAACTTGTTTAAAGTGCTCTACAAATAAAGATTATTATTTATCCACCATGCAGCATTTAGCAGTTGTAAATATCCCTGTCTCCTGTTGTGTTGGCCATGGAGTAATGTGGTTTTTGTTCAGCGATACGAACAGAAAAGTTGAGCACATTTTCCATAAAGTTTTTGGACTCCACCCATTGTCCCTCTTTCTGTGGACTTTTATCCCAGCTGTTGTGCAGTTAGCCTGGCCCCTCTTTCTCTCTCTGTCGTCCCTGCACCTCGCACAGCTGTGGAGCTGCTCCTCTGGGGAGCGACGGAAAAATTGGCAGTCGCACAAACGGCGTAGTGCTTTCACAATAACAGGCTGCTATCAGCATACATGATTATCTCTGTTCTTGTTGTAATGGGGCTCAAACCAGGAAAATAGTAATGGAGCTGTTGTGGGGTGCTGTGTTGTGTTGCCCCCGTCCCACAGCTCCCCACACTCACTGCCCCCCCAACCCTACCGCTACACACATCTTTCTCTCATCCTCCAGACAAATCCTCCCCAGGGATCAGATTATTCTGCACGCTCACAAGAGGGAGAGGGAGAAAGAAAGAGGGGTAGATAAAGGGGGGGTTGGGCTAGAGCTTGATGATGTGATTATGTAAGTGCCAGCCCTCTATGGAGATGAGGAAGTGTGCGACTGAATGAGTGAGAAAAATGTGTTTGGGGGGAGTAGTCACACGCCATCTGGTTATTAATTTTGGTCCCCTATTTTTTGAGGCAATCACACAGATATAAACATTCACAATCCATTTTTTTCCTCAACACACTGTGACACATTTTAACATGCTGATTTAGCTCAGCATATTACATAAGTGACATGACATATCTGTGCCGTGTTAATCTCTGGTCTCGTCCGCCATCCCACCAGCACCCTAAGAGACAGAGTCAGGCTCCATACTTTTTGGCACATAGAGAAACCACACACTAGGCCATTATGGGCCTGGACCAGCAATTATGGTTGTGTTTTCCCTCTTCTCTTCAGAAGCCACTTCCATTTTGACACTAGCAGCAAAGTCGGTGACATTCTGGCATCTGCCTCCAGGGCGGACTTGAGAAAACCGTTCCCTCAGAGAAAACAGAGAGCCATTTACAAGTGGGCTAATAAAATTTCCCAGATCTAAGTAGCTAGTGCAGTTAACAGTCGGAAGCTGTCATTTGACTATTTGACAACACACCAAGGGTCTGTTTTACTGGTGCACTTTAGCTTGCTGCTGTCTAACACCCCCCCACCCCCATGTGCAGAATGAGGTTTATACTAGCACCCCACACAGCAGATCTTGACCCAATAGCATTACAGTATGGTGCTTCCCCCTCCACTGGTATCATTGTTAGCATTCCCGGCCATCCAGATCATAGTTTTGGGGTACAGCATAGGGAGTGTCATAGCTCCTACTGCAAGTCTTAACAAAGCACGTTTTTGGCTTTGAATATGTGGCTATTGACTGCTTAGCAGTGCCTGCAAAACTCCACACAAGAGCCACTCTACCATATGCAGCTATATTTAAAACGATTAGATGGTAATGTTACAGTGAGTCACCATTTCCAATTTTCTTGCCTCCTTTTCTTCCCACTTTCCACTACTGAGTGGCCCATTGCATGTTCTCGTTTTGCAGGGAAAATGGTCTTCTGTGATTACTTTATGATTATGTTTGAACCAAATAAAGCCAGCTGGCATTTGTGTGTGTGCCTTGAACACAACAGTAAAGATTTAGGTCTGTCTGATCTAAGGCTGTAACTGTCTTGTGCTTTTGTACAAATGCGTATTTATTTGGTTGAATGTTTTTAAACAAAACCAGAAGTCTCTTGCTCAGAAGAACAGTAATGTTACAGCTGTCTTCACATATTTAACCTGAGATATCAGTTTACATGACATATAATTAGGGATCAAATCCTGAAGGGACAGACATTGAGTTTGTGTTTTTTATTATTATTAATATTATTATTAACACAGTACTTACAAAATAACTGGAAATTATGTGCAAGTGCTTCCCAAGCAGTAACCCTGGGAGCTGGAAAAAAAATCAAGCCAACATGGAAGTGCAGTTTATAGATTTTTGCTTTTTTTTTTTTTTGAAAAACATATTTTTCATCTCTTTTTCATCTCTAAACTGTAGGTCTGATTGCTACCAAATTTTCAGCGCATCATTATAGGACCAACCAACCAAAGTTGTACAAAGCTTGTTGATGGCTTATTTAAGATATTGACCAATGAACATCAAAAGGGACATGGCTCAGCATGTAAATAAACTGTTGGGCCAATCATCACTGAATGTACAGGATATATCCACTTACAGTCATGACCAAAAACAAGGGCACCCCTGCATGTCTGTCTTATTTATAATGCACTTCTTCTTCCAGAAGATTGTCGCAATTGTAAATGCCTAGTTATTGTCATGTTTATTTCTTTTGTTTACATGAGAACACCACAAAAAAGCAGGGGTGCACTTATTTTTGGCCTTGACTATTTGTACCTGAAACATAACATGAAAGTTTTATTTAAATTGACCAATAGGGTCAAATGCTACAAATGCAAAAAATGTACATTCTTATGTACATGTGTTCTCGCACAGACTTCACTCAGTAAAAAAAAATTGGTAGACTATTAACTTATGTTACAAGTTGCGGTGGATATTTTTACGCACGGAACAAGTAAAGCAACGGTGAACACACAAGGTTGGTTTCAGTTATTTTATGGGCTACGTCATTAATAAGCTGACGTGCGGCTCACCTGCTGCTGCCGTGATAAGAGAAATATACGGAAAAAAGACAAGTTCTCAGTCTTTTAGGCAACTTGGCATACTAAAAATGTTCGTCGTCATTAAAACCTGCTCACACAGAGATTTGTTTTGTTAGGGGGGCGGGGGTTTTACAATCACGATGCCGGCTCAACGTTGTGATGTCTGTCAGCTGCCGTTGACGTGTTTGAAACAATTTTCAAATTGTTCGAGCACAAAAGGGTTTGAACTTGCTAATCACCGCTTGCGGCTATATTAAAAAAATTTTTTTTTGTGCATATTATTGTCCATTGATTTGATTTATGTCGCTGTCCACTTGGTCCAACTTTTAAGTATGCTTAAGTGTTTTTTCTACTATTGAGGGTTAGTCCACATCTAAAACATCTTACCAATCAAATTTTAAACTTCATACATGGTTCTTCTCTTCCATTAGTTCTTCCTTGGGACTACTCCCTCCCTTATACATTATAAGATTTGGCGCAACTTTCATAAGTTCTAGTTGTGCTTCATCTGTCTCAGCCCCAGTTGTACCTGAGCTCTGCTGCGCTTTGAGTTAAATACCAACTATCCTTCCACGCTATTCACTAACTTTGGTCTGTGAACATGCCAACTGTTAACATGCATATTAATAAATGGATTTTAACATGCTGATGCTTTACATGTGCTAACATTAGACACCTCGCTATGTTAACATTAATTTCAACTTAGTGGGAATTTGGTCAGTAGTTCTGGGGGGTGTTCTGATGTGAAAAAAGTGTTGCAAGTTAAAGTCAGGTTTCCAAGAATGCCTGCTGGAAATGTAATTGCAATTCAGAGACCAAAATGTTGGACTGATCCACAGTGCTAGAGTGGCTAAACCCTAATGCAAGACACCAGTATATCAAGAAAATACTAGCCTTAAACCTTGTGATTTTCTTTCATCAGCTTACATTAGAAACTCATTACTGAAATGGCTTGTTATCACAAACCCTGTATTAATAACTGCTATGTTTGTAATTTTTCTCTTGCAGAGGACAAGAGCAGCATAGCCGCTATGAGCATATCTACCTGCCAGAACCCAGCAGCCAATCGGAGATGGAGTATGCGGAGATCAAACGGCCTCGTTTAGAGATGGGACCAGAGTCTCTGATGAGGCCTTCATCCCACCGACCACCAATGCCTCTGGGAGGGGCTGAGGATATGGCAAAGGTCAGTAGTCACAATAAAATACGGCAAATTATATTAACAGTTTGGAGTATATTACAGCAAGATGGTCAACAAGCAAATGACAAATAATTAGTACTTGTTTTTCAGGAAATCAGTGCTGGTGCCTTCACTAGTTTACAGGAGTCACATTTACAAGACGATTTTGACTAATTATGATTCATAATGCACATATGGTGGTCCATTTGTTTCTCAAATATTCAGACTTTATACTATAATAATATACTTATAATATTTTAGTTTTTTCATTCATACTGGCAGCCTCCTTCAGAGCCACAAAGGATGTTATTAGACATGCCACAGCAGAAATCGTAGAAGGATATACTGCGTTGTAGGAGCTGGAGCGGTGTGAGCAGCAGTGGGAAGACTAAGGGAGTTGTGAAACAGCAATTAATAAATAATAGAGTTGACCTAGATTTCAAAAGACTGAGGATGAAACTGTGTGAACTGCACATCAAAACGACTTGCTTGCAGTGTAGAGCTGCTGATGGGGAGGTGTTCCTGACATTATACAGAGCGCTTCAAACTGCCTGGGGAGGCAGACAGCCAAGGAATTGTAAATAGATACACCAATAACAGAGGTACAGGGGGAAAAAAACATTGACTCTTCAGCCAGCAGGGAAATATTCAGGAATGCCATCAATTCCCCTCAGAGCACTGAGGACTGTAAACCTATTATATAAGTCATGTCACATGTAATAATTGCATGGAGTAAGTGCACTAAATGATAGAGAGGGCGATGCAACTGAAAATGAGGCAAAGGGCAAATGTAGGGAGTCACAGATAAAGGGAAAGGGAGGAGTAAGAGACAAAGAGCAAAAAAGAAAAGAGGGAGTAAACCAGTATGAGGCAAAACTGACAGTTGTATCATGACTCATATGTGCAATCACACATTTTGTGGTTAAAAAAGAGAATACAATCAGAATGGGAGACGTTTGAGTGTCCTTCTCTACCCGGGTGCTCTCAGAAATGCTCCATGCAGGTCAAACTTGCTCAAAGAGTGAGCAGAGTGCTATTGGTGATATTCATAGTGTTGTGGAGATCCATGTGTGGCAAAGCTAACTAATACCCCATTCAGACCAAAAAAGCAATGGTTCTACACAAGTTAGCTGATCCTCCTTTGTGACTAGAGCCACACCAATAAATATGCTGGGCTGGCACAGTCAGAATTATCTTATCACAAATTAGATTAGATAACAAGGTATTGGTGTATAAGGCTTCCCCCAAAAAGTGGATGCCTCAAGTCACCAGCCGAGAAAATCCCGAGTCGACACGCGTTTTGTCAGTCGAAATCACTGCACTTTCTTTAGCTGACTTTAGTGTGACTGAGTTTTCGGTTGAACTGTCAGCACCCCAGCAGGGTGGCTCAGTGGTGTGCTAGGATTTTATAACTGAACTGTGACGCACACTTCTTCTTTCTGTTTGGAAATCCATTATTCTCACATCACGGCTGAACAAAAGTGTTCAAATGTGGTTCTTACAGGTAAAACATGAGACTGTTGTAGGCAGATTATAGGAGTTTAGTGTAGGAACTGACAACATGGATGGTCTGTATTTGTAATGGCGCCTTTCTAATTTTCCTACCACTCAAAGTGCTTTACACTACGTCACCCATTCACACACATTCTGCTCATCAGAAACAAAAAAATTACATTCGTGCACACAACAGCAGTAATCAGGAGCAATTTGGGGTTTAGTATCTTGCCCAAGGACACTTGGACATGCAGACTGGAGGAGCCAGGGGAACCACCGATCTTCTGATAAGTGGCCCTGAGCCACAGCTGCCCGCCGCCAATGTATTATTAGAACTGGATACCGGACTATTCAATGAGTATTGCTGGCCTGGTGCATAAACAAAAGATTTTAGGGGTATGTGAGCCACTGAATACGCGCTGTAGTGTTTCTCACTCTGGCCCATAGACTTTACATTGTGATGATGACGTCACATATTTTACAAATATAAAACCTTCATGGATCAAAATCTTTTTTTATAATGGTGAGTGGTCACTGGGCAAAATTGAAAGAAGGCTGAGCGGCGGTGCCATATCCACATCTTATCATACATCCATGACTGACTCTTACTGGGCAGGGGACTGAGTAATATATTTCTTATATTTTAAGCATAATGTGTTGAAGAAAAGACCAATTATGTTATGTTTATTCACACGAAAAATATCTAGATAAGAAAGCGTGAAGCTTATGACAATTATTTTTCAGTGCCAAAATGTTATCAAAAATATTTACTTATTTGTTTAAAATATATATATGGCTGATATATAGTATAGCTGATGTTTTAAATATTAGGGGTGACCCCAAATAGCTGAAGATTTGATGCTTTGATAGAAGGAGCCTCTTCAAATCTTCGCAGAGGCGTTATGAAACGAGGATCACAAGTTTAATAGAGACTGCAGTTCTGCAGCTCCTCAAGATGAAAGCGCAGATACTGTGTGTAAAACCTAAGGGAGATTCATTCTTGACCATGGGAACGCATATCTGTGATTAGATGCTATAAATTCAAGGTTCACTCACTAGCTTTTTTTCAGCATTAATACCGCAACCCTTTCTCGGCTTAAGAACATGACCGATTCTTAAGATAATAAGATTAATAAGATTCTTATTATAATTTACTGTATTTGAGTGGTTTAACAGTGAAGTCTGTATCTGCTAAGATTACCCTGTGACAGCTGTCTTAAGAAATGGTTATATTTCTAAATTTTGTGAGTGCTTTAGGTAGAGTGCCTAGCAGTTAAAATGTCACACGCATGCTTATATTTGTAAGCCAGCAGTACCAACCACACAACTTACACCTGTATGTTTCTTGCATTTTAAAGATTTTGTGTTGACAATTGAGACCAGTTTTCTCTCCTCACTTCATATTGCAGTTTTATTTTCTTCAGTTTTGAAACTTAAGGAAATCTTACCTCGGTCTCCTCAGTTTCAGCAGCTTTCTGCACCTGCTGTTTTGTGTTGTTCTTGATGTCCAAACGAGATAGACTATTGTGAACTTAGATGCACATTCTCGCATGAAAACAGGATGTCTACTGCTTTATTCAACTGACATTGTGATTCAGTCACACAGGCACGTGCTCAGTACACATTTACCCAGAGGTAATTTAAAACAAGAAGTCTGATGTATGTACAGCTGGAGACATCATGCAGTGGGATGTTCTAAATGCGACTCGGGTCGTCGAGGGCATATAAGCTGTTCTGCGCCAAGGGCTTAGCTATTGGTCTGTGGCCTTTTCACACTATGTCACAGGTGTAGTAGCTGTTGATGTGCTGCTGTACTGTTGACAAGAACAGAGGACAGTGTAGGGCACAAGACCAGTCTAGGAGAACGCAGACTACTTTTGACATGATAGTTTTGTCATACAATCAAATCCCTTATGGTTGAACACAAGCTAAAAATTTGCAAACAGTTCACTGTCCTTGGCAACAATAACAATGTCATTATCAGGGAACGGGGATCGTTCATTTTTATTGATATTGATACTATTATTGAGACTGCTTAACGATACGAGTCTTTATTGATACCACTATCAAAACTTCACTATTATTTGGTGACTGTTATTTGGTATGACGAGACCTAACGGGCATGAGATAGGCCTGCACGGTATGAGAAAAATATTCAATGTGCGATAACATTGTTAGATGACACATCACTTGCGATAAATAAACAAATATTGAAGTGTGTATATTAGCCACCTGGTTGTTTTTAAACTAATTATAGGATTAGAATTTAATATTTTAAATACAACTAAATGTTGTTTCTAGAGCAGCAACATTAATGTTTACAACTGCAACGTCACTATATAAAGTCAATATGTGAACTCAGACATCCGTCAGCATCTTCCTCTTCTCTGCTTTTATTCACTGCCTGCAGGTATAGTTACCTGGCAGAAGGAGGAGCGGCAGATCTCAGCCAGCAGCTCAGTTTACAACAATGTGCCAGATTTTAAGACTACAGACCAGTCTATGCTACAGACAGAGAGCTTTCAATTTAGCTCGTTTGTAACATTTGGCTAATGCCAAGTTAACGTTAGCTGTGCTTGTATAAAACATACAGGAGGAGAGACTGAGGACATAGCAGTTTAAATTAAACCTTTCTACATGTTTACCCTAACCACAGGTGTATTGATAAAGTATTGTCTTTTTACTTATAAAACTTTTAAAAGTTTTATTGCACATACTTACAGTAACGAGCGTAGCTGTCAGCAACTCCAGTAGTTTGGAGCTAACTTAACTTGACCGCGACAGCTTGGCGTCTCTCTCTGCTGGCCACCGTGTGTTTGTTTGTAGGAGCCGACAGAGAGCAGACAGAGCCTGCAGCCTGATGATAAACTGTTTTATCATCCAGCCTGTTTTAATACCGCGTTTCAGTGACATCAATAAATAAACATTAGTTTTCTTATTCATCATTTCAAGACATTTAGTCTCGATATGGATAAGCTCAGACCTTATTGATTTTCGGGTTTTGAGATTGTTTGGAACCGGGCTATCGATCCCCATCCTCATATCATGATCTGTAAATCTCTAAAGTTGCGCGTGTGTGTGTGTGTGTGTATATATATATATATATATAATGTGTGTGTGTGTATAAAAAATATAGTGAATTTTTGTGACTGTGGCTTTGGCACACGTGGGCTTCTTCATCTAGGACAACCCCTCAACATTCCTGGCACTGACATTTTCAATCAGCAGGTCTACGGGGCTATAATGCAGCATGCCTAGTCCAGATTAGCCCACTTATATAACCTTAATTTCAGACGTTTAAAAATAACGCGGAACAAAACCCAAGCTGGATCACACATGCAATCATTTATGGAGACTAGAACTCGAGAATGCTCACACACTTGCAGAAAGTAGGAAAACACACGCACTCACTGATCAGGAAAAGATAATGCCCCTGCAGAACAAGTGGGCCCTCTCCTACCGTGTGTTGCTGTTACATAAACGGGTGCATGCAACAGCAATTCCATTTTCACTCTTGCTTCACATGTGAACAGAGTACTGAGAATTGGTTTAAAGCATTAATATGTGTGCTGAGTTTTTTGAAGGTAGCTTTATTTTGCGAAGCTGCAGAACGGACAGAGTCTCCCAAACAAATTTCCTTTCTGTTACAATAAAGTATATTTTACTCTCAGGGGTGTAATGTGGATGAGACCACAAACTGGTGGGTTGACAATTGAAAACAATTCATGTAAACAGTACAGCAATCAGTTTGGAAAGAAGAATGTGACTCACCCTTGCCTTGCATGGGTTATGATGGCAGATGATCATGAAGGGTACCCCTCCTCTCCATGGTAAACCACTGAAGGCATTTTCAGTGAAGAAACAACTGTTCTTTTGAGTGGTGAATGAAATTAAACTCTAAAATAGTTGTCTGTGATCTAAACAACAGGAGGTGATGGAAATATAATGTTACAAGTGTACAAGAGTAATTGAACACACATTAACATTGCCATAGACTAGATTGGGTATCTCCAATAAGAAGCTTGTTATGCTCCCTGAAACACAAGAGTACCAAGGATGAATCGAGTGACATTCAGGGGAAATTAAATGAATGCCCTACTCATCTCACTTACAGCTTCAACAATTAGTCTATTTAGATCAGTAAGTAATTGACATCAACTGTTTATCTTCACGCGCCCACATTCTTATTTTGCATGATGCACATAGTCGATGGAAATGCACATTAATTTTCATTTTTAATTTAAATTCTCAGAGAATTTTTACTAATTTGGGTGGAAACTTTGGGGTACTGGACAGTTAGGTGGATCTTCTTTTTCTGACATTTTATTGGCCGAACAATTAAGTGAATAATCAATCTGCAGAGTAATCCGTTATAAAAATAATCATTAGTTGCAGCCCTAATCTCACCCCCCTGGTACCAGTCAGCTGCCATTGAGCAGCTTTTGAGATGAACTATACCGCAACATCCTTTAAAAAAAGGGATGATCCAACACTGTACTGAAGATGAGTTTAAATTGTGAGTATATACACTGACTTGGGAGTACTGTATTTGTTTGTTTGAATTGTTTCTCTCTACTCTGTTCAGTTTGGCTGATGAGCACTGTGCATTGTTTGACTGATTAGACATACACAATTTCCATTTTTCTGCCAGAAGACTTGCCTAATAATTACCTCCTGAATTTGATCTACACACATGTTGTACCACCCTTGAGATTCTCCCCTTACATCATAAAAACAGAGCATTTCACATCTCAAACCAAGTCTCCTAAACAGAGCCAGCTGCCAGTGATCCTGACGAGGGAGGCTGTGACCTCCATATTCATTAGTGTGGTCTAGTGACACCGAGACACTACACTGGGTTTCATTACCCAGAGGACTTAATTACTGCCGTGTGTTACCTTCCCAAAGGATACACAGAACATGTTTGGATGATTTCTTGCAGAGTAACCCACAGACCTTGCAATCAGAGGAAGACAGGGATGCTTTCAACAGGGGAAAGGAGACATGGATGAGTGTCTTTATGCACCACTATATATCAGATACCTTTCACTGAACTGCCGTCTTTAATCAGTTTTATCCAAACATCTTCTTAACACATGAAATTCCATTTTGAAATAATCCTTTGTCCTCATTTTCTCTTCTCCCTTCAGATTTTAATCAAATTAATTTAATATTTGTGACTTTTGTCACCTTTCTCTATCTCTTCTGTAGGATCGTGGAAGTTCCATGGGGAAGCTGGAGCCAATCTCCCCCGTGAGCCCAGTCCATATGGACCCGGACTTGGATCTGGTGCCAGCCCGCTTCTCTAAGGAAGAGCTGATCCAGAACATGGATCGCGTGGACAGGGAGATCACCATGGTGGAGCAGCAGATCTGCAAGCTTCGCAAGAAACAGGTCTGCACACTCAGGGATCTGGTCATAACTTTGACATTATATTGGCTTGCTTTGTGTTAAGTGATTGCAAACTATCTCAAACTGCCCTGTTTAGCTCTTTGATTTTAAGATGGATTTGTGTTTCTCTGTCAAAGTTCTGGTGGTTCTGCTGTAGATATCTCCAGCTTTGGAACTGATTTTATATATTTTTTTTATATTTTATATGTTTGTTGTAGCACTGCCAAAGCACTAGATAGATGTGTCAGGGGGAACTTGTGTACCAGAAAGGGCTTTGCAAACTAGATTACAAAATTCAAATTGGTTTGGCTACTGAAAAGAAGACAAATAATGATCTGTACCTGATTGTGTCATCTGATTATTTCATTCACTTTGTGATAAGAAGTTAGCAACCAAGGATGGGTTTTGCAGTGGATGTGGCCTTTTGTTGACTGCAAAATTTATATTTTGCAGTCTAGAAATTCAAAGACTGTGTGAGGCTCTAAGTGCTTCAAAGTTATTTTTCATCAGACGTTATAAACCTGTAAGAAGAGATGATGCATGACTGAAGAAAATTGAGCAGACACCACTTTGTGTCATTCATGTGCATTCTGCACATATTTAGACCAGACAGGCATGCCTAAAAGCACTATGAGGTACCATTTATTTGTCATGCATGTAGATGTCGAAGTCTTTGCCAGTGCTGGCATCCTCATTGAATTTTCTTAGCGCTTGGCTTGCTTGAAATGTTCATGTGTGGTTTTCCAATGTGACTTTCCCTGCCAGACTTCAGTTGGCATCAGTGCAATAAAGTCTTAAGCAGACTTTGCTGTGTTGTAATCAGTGCATTCAAGTTCTGTAGCTGTTTCTTGCTCAATGTGCCACGATTCTGTACACGCACTCCCCCGGGCAGCTGCATTCCCTTTTCTCTTTGCTTCTCTTTGGCTTTTTATTTAGGAGAAAAGTAGGTTAAAAATATATAAGGCTATAAATAACCGCTTCCCTGAGGGAGGAGGAGGATTATGGTGGAGGTTTTGTGACTGCTAAACCACTCATATCCCTGCCACACAGACTCCCTTTTGGCCGTCTGCCATGTTTAGTAGAAAAACTGTATGGTCGAGCTCACCCGAATCCCTCCTCCACCGTACATGCTGTTATATTAACATACTGTTCATTATACTCAATTATTTAAAACAAAATATATCATCATTCATAAGTCGGGAATTAAATTAGCACATGCCACCTGCCAAATACAGGGTAAATGTGGGCTGTGGCAGGTAAAAATGTCAGGTCAGCTGCTTAATATTCTTTTTAAAAAAGCAATTCTTAAATTGAGAATAGTCAGGGATTAAGACTACATGATATATTCAGGTACGACTGACTCAGTGTTAACAATTCTAACATGTTCTGCATTGCTTTAAAAAGCAGCAGACAGAGATGTTAAGTAATAAATTTGGAAGAAACCTGTTTACACTCTGCTTAAGTCTCCATTAGGTTAATTTATTGATGACCGCAACATGTGGTGTTCTCAGTCTCATCTGACAATATTGAAGCTAATGATATGACTTTTGACCGCTAAATTATACTGTTGATATCTCTACACTGTAGCAGCTAATGCTGGTTTCACAGACTGATGGTGACAAGGTACTTCACAGCTTAGACTTCTGGAGGTTCCCATTGTGGAGATATCGGTCTGATAAGCTTAAAATATTAATTATAAGCTTGATCATATTTAATGAGAGTTAAAGTTTAGGCTTGAAACTTGTAAATGATTGAGAGGCTAAGCTCTGCTGCTTACAAACATAAATCACCCTCCCCTCACCCTCCTCTCTACACTTGCAGTGTTTTTATGGATTTTTTTTTTCTTACAGTCCGGCTCTCTTCAAGCATTAAAACATCTGGGCTAATTAAGTCGCACTGTAAAACTTTACTAAAAGAGTTCTGGCAGAGTTAGTGGATGGGCGGGGGGTTAGGGCTTAGGTTACCGCCAGCCTGTGTCTTGTCAGCCAAGCTCAGGATGGCTGGTTTATTTTGTTTTATCCTGCGGTGGGTTTGGAAAGGGAAGGGGGGGTCTCCATGGGAATGTCTGTGTTTCCCTCACCAGATGCTTATCCAGGCCTATCATGGCACTTAATGATCCATCTTGCTCTGCTCTCACATGGATCCTCTGGAGGCAGTCTGTCCCTTCTCTGAAGTCCCTGACAGGAGATGAGGAGGAGTTGGGGGAAATAAGGGGCTGACTTAAATGTAGATCAGCTATAGGCACGCTGCTCAGCAACACTTGGCCTCAGCCTCCAGGCTGCTAGTTACAGCTGAATACACTCAGCTCCTGCCTCCAGCGTAAATCCTGCACAACATAGGGACAGTAAACATTTTCAGGCAAACTATGACGTCAGAGGTTTTTTCAGTGTTAATACATTCACTTGAGCAGACAATCATTGTTACATAGTGTTTGAAATGCATTTGTTAAAATAGACAGAAATGTAGAAAATCACATAATTGTTTCTTTGAATGGGGGTATGAAATTTTACATTTCTGTGATTGTCACATAAAGTAGAAACATAGATAGGTTTCTGTTCAGGTGTAAATCCCAGTAGATGCTGGCTGCAAATTATATTTTTGTCAAGCTTTTACTCAAAAGTCTGACCTTTTGGTCTTGCTCTTTATAAAATAATTGACTAAAGGCAGGAAAGTAAAGTCAACGGTTCTTCCAATTAAAGGTTTTAAACCAAAATGATAAATTGCTTGATTTCAAATACCACAAGAAAAGGCCGCATTTTATTTATATGTTTCTTATATGCAGATATGATTTTATACATATTGATGTTCTTGTGATTTCTGCACTAGAAGCTGGGATAGGCCCTATCATACTCTAATTTGGAAGATTGAGGAAGTTTGACTGGATAATTAAAACCGTTTAGCCAGCAAGCTAACAAGTAACTAACACAGACACATTGATGAGTTGCACTACTAAATAATAACCAAGAGAAAATGTTCATATGGTAAATGCTACTTACAGCAGCAAAATATGCTTTCTTTATTTCTGTCTGTGTTGAAACTGCTGTTTTCAGTGTCACATTGCAAAATTCAATGTGTAAATAATTTAAATCTTTTGAATATTTTTCGTCTCAACTATCACCTGCTATTCTCACAGGCAGAATGAAACTGCCACTTCTACATGCTGCTTATCAATGCAGTTAAATGTGGGAGGATTAATGATCCTGACCGGTCCATTTAAGCTTTTTAAGCATCTGGATAGAATGCGCAGTCGAATAGCAGTCCCCCTAAAGCTGCTTTGCTTTTTCAATTTCTGATTTCTCTGACCTCCAATCTGCCAAAGATGCTAGAAGTGTCCAAATGTAAATGGGCAATGAGAGCTTAACAGTGCTTTTCCATCTATATACTATTCTGTCTGTGTCAGAACAGGCTTCTCTTCTTGTCTTTCTGTATACCTTCAAAGGAATATTAATGGACAAAGAAGCCCTGACTGAATCCTACATGATTGGCAGTGAAAGATAAAGATTGATGGGCCTCCACCCTGCCAGATTATCTTTTAGTTCGTTTAGTTCTTCCTTTTCTCTACCACCCCACAAACAATACCTGCTGTCTATCTGTTTGTTAATAGTATTGCTTCCCAAAATTCTCTGTTTCTGGAATTCAGTCTCCAAGCAATGTTTGGTTACAAGCCAGGTTGAGTAAGTTAGTGAAACTATCCTGTTTTCCAGTATTTGTCTGGTGTTAATTTCCCTCCTCTAATCTTTCTTTTGTCTGTCTCCGTCTTTTAATTTTCTCTCTCTCTCATTGGATGTTCCAGCCACACAGCAGGCACTGGCTTTGTTTACAGGCTGTTGTAGTACCTCTTTGATTAACTAGACCCTGAGGAGTTAATAGCTATTAGAGCTAATTGGACAGTTAGTCTTGTCCCTGCTGGAGAGCTGGGGGAGGGACGGTTTATTTAACTCGCGCTCTAACCTCGCAACAGGAACTGGTAAGCCACAGGTCTTCCTGGAAGATCAGGGGCCTTGTGTTAACCGTCATCTTTGTGTTTGTGTGTTACAGCAACAGCTGGAGGAAGAGGCTGCAAAGCCCCATGAGCCAGAGCGGCCCATCTCACCGCCACCCAGCGAGGCCAAGCACCGCAGCCTGGTGCAGATCATCTATGATGAGAACAGGGTTAGTAGAGTGTTCGCACGCACACACGTGCACTCACACCAGACGCTCTATCTGTGGCCTTGCATTTGAAATTGTTTTCACTTGATCACGTATGAAGTGTATTCATTACCATTCATTATAAGTGAATGTGAGAGTGAGATTGGTGTTTCTGTGTTGTTTCACGAGGCTTATGCAAAATAACAAACTTAACTAAGCCAGGCTGTTACATCCTCTAAATATTCTCTATTGCCCAGTTGTTTGGTTGTAATGTCAGGTAAAGGGCAGCTACTATTGGAAATGGACACAGTGCCTGTAAGGTACACTAGATTACCCAGAAGCTGCACCTTTTAAACAAACTAGAGTCCCTAATTTTATATATATATTATAACCCCATAGTGTGTACTTCTTTTCATTACATTTCATAGACAACGTATTGAATTACTCTTGTGGTGTGTACAATACTGAAATACAGGGGCTCTGAAGAGACTGATGTCTCTTGGTGAACTGTCATTTTCCTTTTTTGATGTAGCCCTTAAAAATCATCGTCAACAAAAGCAGTGTCGCAAAGTATTCATTTCACTTTTTACTGTTCGGCAAGACAGTGCTCTTGCCTAACGAAAGAAGGTCAAATTAACAGGCATGATGAATCACACTCATACACACAAACATATACGCACACACTATAAGGTGTCACAATCACACACTGAAAGAGATTTTTGTCTTTATCAACTATGCAAGTATATAGCAACTTGATCATTCTTTGTGACGGAGCAGCTGGGTGGTCATAAAAACATATTTGGGAGTGTTAAGGTAGTTCTAGTCACAGCAATCACTATATGCAGCAGTGATTCTCAGTGCTCTCAGTCCCCCTAGTGGTGAAATCCACAAGTCTCCTTTTCATTGGAGTTTGCATTTAAAGTGGGGAACTCCTCTCACACTGGATCACACCGCAGATTCAACCTCTTTTAATGTTACTCCTAGTTTTCCATAGAGGGCTTGTTCAAGCTGCACGTTTCAGTGGAAAGAAGCTCTCAAATGTTTCTCTGACGCTTTCAAGGCAAATCATTTTCATAGAAAGGCAATGCAGTGTAGTCTGTAGAGAAAATGCACTGCAAATGGAGCAAGAGATGTTGATCTAACCTGGACAGATGTCCTGATAACCACCAAAATGCCAGGAAAAGGCCTTTTAAAGGGAACACCACAGTACAGGGAGTGTCCTTCATGACTTTCACCCAAACTGTCCTCAAGCTCAGCTAAATCATAGTGCTTCTTTGCAGTAGCACAGCATTGTGGATTGCTCAAGACTGATCTGAAAGGATTGATGTTTAAAAATGACTCATGGCTTACTCCATAATGTAGCCTGACCTCTGCAACACATTCCACTTCTCCTTAGCTGCTAGGGTTTACTCTGGCCCATGCCTGCCCCCCTAACCTTTCTCTCTCCCTCTCAACTTTACCAGCTATTTTCTAGTTTCACTCACTCTAAGCCCAATGCAACAGTTACACAATATAGCAAACCTGGCTATAATTATTCCAGCCTCCGCATGTCTTTTTGAGCGGGTGTCACTACGGTGTCATCTGTCCCTTCTGGGCTCAGTGTCACCAGCTTTACCAGACAGAATTACAGCTGCATAACTACCGACAGCCCATTGTCAAACCCCGAGGACGGCTCAACTCAAGCTCACTCCTCTCATATTTGGGACATGGGCTGTCATAGAATGAACACAACTGAAGACCACCCCACCGAGACTGCATTATCATAATTCTGTTGAGCTATGCTAAATCCTCATGTCTATGCTTTGTTAAGCTGGCCCTGTAGCACTTTCTCTGCATGCTTCTGTGCCACGTTAACCGTGGCTGAAGGCATTATGTTTTCCATCCATACATACGTAAGGATACGTCCTTTCCGTTCTTGTGAACACGTATCTCAGGAATGCCTTAAGGGAATTTCTTCAAATTTGGCACAAACATCCACAAAGGTAACTGTGACCTCACAAAACACGTTTTTGGCCATAACTCAAGAACTGATGTGGTGATTATCACAACATTTTATTACAGATGTTTGATGGGAACGATGTAGTGATGACATTTTTTTTACCCCAGAGATCAACTTCACTGTCACATCATAATGTCCTGGTAAAAGCACTTTTTTTGGCCATTATTCAGCACCATAATTCAGGAACAGAAGGAGAGATTGTGACCATATTCCACAGTTGGTTGGACACTGAATAGGTGGGTCTTTTGACTCGGAGGTTAAAGGTCATTGTGACCTCAAAGTAGGTGATTAGCCACAGTTTAAGAATGAATTGGGCGATTCCAGATTTCACACTCATGAATGGGATGCCACAATGACTAAACAATAACTAGCACAGTACAGGATTTCCTCCATCTCGAATATCCAGCTGCAGTCTGCCGACAAGTGACAGAAGTTAAAGAAAAGAAAGACAGAAAGAAAGACATACTTTATTAATCCCCCAAAGAGAAACTCAACGTGTTTGGAAGTTAAACTTCCAAAAATGGTTCGTCCCAAAAGACACCGCGCACAAAACGTGACGACATTTATCTTTGCCCACGTACAGTAAATCCTCCAGCTGCGGTTAGATTTTTGTTGACTGGTTAATTTGCTGCAAAGAGACCAGAGCAAGATCGATTTTCAAAGATTATATTTTGAAACGAAAATATACATGTATGATCTAAGAATAGTAAAGCAATTAAAACAGTAAGAATGTGTTACCCCTGTGTATCTAGTTGTGTCATGCTTTATTATCTTGTCTTGTTTTGTATTGGTCACGTGGTTCGTGTAGCTCTCCAAACCATAACAAGGGACTATAGTGTTAGTATACTAATATACTACATAATTATTATAATAAACATAATAAAAAAGCCAGCAATCCATTTTAACATATTAATCAAGTACGTGTGTACCTGTTTAACCAATACATCTATGAAAATCCTTCATTATGCGTTCAACAATGTGGATTCACTAGAATTATTCATATGTATCATCAATATACTCATAAGTTCCATTTAACCAAAAAATACACTTTATATACCCTTTATTCAAATCCTTCCAAATATTTACTTCATATTATGGGTCTGATGGTCAGTTATCAGACCAAACTCGTGCCCATATATCATCTTCTGGAACGAGCAACAAGAATAGCAAGTTGTGTACATCTAGACGTTCACCTCATCCTCTATTTCTTCTGTTAGGTGTCCTCAGCGTTTGTCAAGTAAATTTCTCTCACCCTTCCCCCATGATTTATGTTCATTCAGTTATCAATTTCATGCGTATTCTACATGGAGTCTCCTTTAAACCCCTTAAATTCCTGTATTTTATCTTTGTGTCTTAAGAAAACTCCTAAGACTCATGAGACACCCTCATGTGACATGGCTTAGTCTGTTAATGTGTTCTTGATGTGTGTGTGTGTGTGTCTTGTTGTGACTATGATTCATTATACTTGTGTAACAGATGGGTGTTTAGAGGATGCATTGTTTTCAAGTACTTTTTTTAAATGTCTAAAATTATTCCATCTTCATCTATCAAATTTTGTATTCTACCTTGCTGTAGATTAGTTCCTATAATATGCTTCATGGAGAATGCCACTTTTCAAGCTCCTCCTTCACATTCTATTGCAATTTATATAAATTTTTTTATGTGTAAATAAAGACGCAAAACTAAACCTACATTCAATTAAATTTTATTTATATAGCGCCAAATCACAACAACAGTTATCTCACAGCGCTTTTCATAAAAGAGCAGGTCTAGACCGTACTCTGTGATGTTATTTACAGAAGCCCAACAATTCCCACCAAGAGCAAGCACTAGGCGACAGAGGCAAGGAAAAACTTCCTTTCTTACATGTAAACCGCAACCTGACTGGTTGGCTTAGACACACCACCGCTGGGCAGTAGACCTAGTTTTTCCCTGTTTATCCCTCCTGCATTGGAGGTATGAAAGTTTTGAAGTGCTGTGATTTTTAGTCGCATGAGCACGGGGTTATTTTCTTGTCTGGAGTTTTCTCATGTTCAAGTGATTGTGTAATCTGCTGGGGATAGTGTCATGCTAACTGTAGGCAAAATGTATTGACAGTACAGTTGCTAAGCTTTACAGCTTGTAATGAGCAGCAGTCCTGTGTGTTACCACAGGGGGGCATAATTGAAGTAATGGACACAGCCTCTCTGCTTGGGTTTCATGATGAGGATGTGTGTGTGGGGGTGGTGGAGATGGCATTTACAAGACCAGCAGCTCTCGTTGTGTAATTATCCACCTTTTTAGAGAAAAAGTAATATTCTTTACAGCTTCCTTTGGATCTCATTTTCCCCCCTGTCTTCATTGCTAAATTAGTCAATTCTAGTATTTTATTTGAAGCCATATTCCAAGACCAAGCTTCATCAGTCTTGTTTTGCTTAAAGAATCATAGCCATGAAATGAAAAGAAATCCTTGAGCCTCTATACTCCCTGAGGATCAAAGGCTGGTTTTAATAATTGCTGCTCATTAACTGCTCCTGTAGTGAGCAAGCTCTCTGAGGCAATACTCTGCAGCCTGTTACACCTCCTCACTGGTGAGGAAGCAACAGGAATGAGGATGCAAAACGACTGAAGGAAGAATAATAGTATTATGTTACTGTATTTGCATTTGAATGATATTTATAGTATGTGCAAATGTGAATCATCAGTGCTTCCTTCTGCTGTAAGGCACTTCTAAAAGTGTAGCCATGGCATTTGTCTTCACTCCCAGGTGAGCCAGTTGAAAGCTTGTGTTTAGTCAAGTTAGGTCATGTGCGTGAGCTCTCCTGGGGTCTTACATTCAAGTCTGTTAGCGTGAGTCTTGTATAAACTTAGGAGTAAGTCCTGAACACCTCCTGTGTTACCTCTACAGCGAAGACGGAGTGAAAGGGACAAGGAAGCAGCATGACATGGTGGGTGGTAAAGAATAAAGGTTGACGTGCACATACACACTGGCAGGTTCTGTCTCTGTTATCAGCATCTCTTCCTCTCCATCCAGCCCTCCCTCACTGTCCTTCCATCCTGTCTGTGAATCTGTCAATCCTGCCAGTCTCACTTGCGTGGTCACTGAAGGAAATGAAGTGAGATGGAAGCAACAGAGCATGTGGTGTGTCACCAAGGAGGGTCTGTTTGATCGATGAAGTGGAGAGAGTGTACAGAGTGGAGCGAACATTGAGAGGGGTAGTCTGGGACACTACTCACACATTTGTCTGCTCGAGCTAAATATAAACGTATGGAGGAGCTGAGCTGCAGAGAGGTCATCCAGAGACACAGATGGGAGTTTTTTGCTGCCCTGCTTCATGCCCCAACACCTCTCCTCTGTTACTTTATGCTCCCTGCCAGGATTTTTTGTTTTACGGCTGATTGTTGTAGGTTGTAAGCTGAAGGTGAGATCTTTCTCTGTCTTTCATCAGATGTCTGTTATAAAATAAGCACCAAAGCCCTTTAGCCCCCCCCCCCTCCCTCCTTTCCCTGTTTTTTGCGCTTTCTCTCCCACTCACTTTCTATTCCACTCCCACTTGCTTTGCTGCCTGCCTGCTCTTTTTCTCTACCTCTCTCTGCTCAGGGGAGGTGAGTAATCTTTTTTTTTCTTTTTTTTTTCTGGGAGAGGAGAGAGGGGAGCTGAGGCAAGGAGCTGTGGCCCAGCTTCAGTTAAAAGCGCTAATAATAGTCAGTGCATCCATCCATACGTCCAGCCTTCCATCCATCCATCCATCCATCCACCCATCCAACCTCAGTGATCAAGTGAGCGTGCTCACTGCGTTGCCGTGGTGATGGCAGAGGTGCAGGCGGCCGGCTAATGTATCTCTTCTGTTTGTGTTCCCTTACCAGAAAAAGGCAGAAGAGGCTCACAGGATACTGGAGGGACTGGGACCCAGGGTAGAACTGGTGAGAAGAGACTTTGATTTTAATGTCCTATTGCTGTTCTTGTATTTTTCTTTATCCCGCTCTCATTTTTGCATTATTGACACGTGGGAGCATTTCACTGAAGGTCAGGATAGAGGGATAAATGATGCTTGGAAGAGTTAAGGGACAAGTCTGCAAGAATGATGTCCCCCCTTTTTTTAGGTGCAAGGCACTTAAACAGTGGTGTAAAGTAATGAAGTAAAAATATCTGAGCTTCTGTACTTGAAGCTCCAGTGAGCATTTTCATATTGCACATTGAGTAAAATGACTTGCAGCATCAGAGTTAAGGGTCGCTTGTATCCAAACCCACTGAGAATAGAAACTAAAGTCTGCACTTATATATACAGTATTTTCAAATTTAGGACTACAAATTTCCAGACTGCCTTATTTTTTTTGCTGTAATATTTTTTTTTGGCTTCTTTGTTTTTGTTATAAAAGTGCTGTCACACACTATATCTGTCCGTCCGGCGCACACACACTTACCCAGTAAAATTTGAGCCTGGTTCTGAGCCCATGCAAGATGTTACACAAAACAGTTTCTGCTCTGTCTAGGATGGCGTTTGATCAGGTTATTGAGCTTTCGTCAGTCAGTGCTTTAAGTCACTCATGTTATTTGATGAACAATCCTACATTTGTTTTGGGCAAGGTCAGACTTCTATTTACCTGTTGTTTGAGTGAACTCAACCCATTTGGCCATCATGTATCTTCTCATTTACAATCTGTTGCACAACTGAAAATATGGCAGATTTTTTGATCTGTTTATTCCTTTTTATGTTCCAGCCTCTCTACAATCAGCCTTCTGATACCAAGCAGTACCATGAGAACATCAAAATGTGAGTCACTACACATGCTTCCACACTAATAAATGTTTTATATCTAGCCATCAAACTATAGCTTAGGAACTGCTGTGCTTGAGGTTAACCATAGCTACGGGAGCTCATGTAGGGTTTGATGGTCGTATCGACACAGATCTCTAAAATGGATATTGTTTTTTTTACTTTTAAAATACTAAAATAATTTGTTGTAAAATACAGATGGGTGACAGATTAAAAGACAAACCACCATTAATTATCTTAGTATGGAGTCAGGGCACCACAAGCCTCCACAACAGCTTCAGCGCTCTTTGCCAAGTCTATGGATCTCTGTTGGAGGGATGAACGCCATTCCTCCTCAAGATATTTCCTCATTTATATTTACCACCTTTATTTAATCAGGTCATCTCACTGAGATCTCTTTTGCAAGAGAGACCGGAGTACAACAGATAGAAAGAAACACAAACATAGCCAGACATAAAAAAAAATAAAAATAAAAAAAGAACATAATCACCAGAGACAGTCACAGACATAAATAAATAGATCTGGAGATGAATGTTTACATTATGTCATTTAGTCTTAGGGAGAGGGAGGTGGGAAGCATTGTCTTACTCTTTGCTCCAAAATCTGAAGTGCAGCACCCGGTCAAAGCAGGGATTCTCCTTGGAGAACAAGCGACCCAACAAAGTGGTACTCTGCATATTGGAAATGGCTTATCACAGCAGCACAACATGAACAGCAGAACACAGAGAAATCATCCCAGAAAGATTTGTCTAGACGGCAGCAAATCAGCAATCCTGTTTTCTTTTTGTCCCCACACGAGCACGATATATTAGGATTATCAACATGACAAACATGTTTCTGTTTGTAGTAGTCACTTAAAATAGATTTTCTAAATGTTTCTTCATCACTTCTATGTTAAAAATAATGTCTGCAGTACTGCTGTCATTGTTATCGTGGTAACATTACTGTCATCTAATGTTTGGCAGTTTTATATTTTCTGTATACTTTAACGGCCATGTATGAGTGAGAAAATAGCTTGAGCTGATATTACTGACTGTTGTTACAGTCTGTAAATCATTGCAGTTATTTTCTTTGCCTCACACTGATGCAAAAATATATCTGCTAGTGATTATCTCACTACAGTTTTAGTCAAGTGCTTAAGTAAAAATACTGATTCTCCAGTTTATGGAAAGGGTTGACATACAGTGTGTAAATTAGTGTCACAGCAATCCTTTTGAATTTGAGGTCCAGTATTCATCTGATCCATCATCTGACAAATAGGTTCTGTTAACACAGCAGTGATTTAGAAAATTAGAGTAATTTTAAGAAATGCTGCTATTGTCATTATTTTGATGTGCTCTTTTGGTCTCTTTTACAGGATGGTTGGAAAAAAATGTTGAATTTTTAATTAGACAAGGTTTTTGATATTTATTTCTGATAAATGATTTGTTCTTTTAATTGAGTAGTTATCTTTAGAATATTCAACAAATTAGGCATTAGATTAATCGACTAATCGAAAAAAAATAATCGTAGCCCTAAAGTAATAATTGTCTGACAGTCCTTTCACATAGCAACTCTTAATTGCTGGATTAATGAGTAACAGGGCTGAAAAGGTTGAAGCACTGTACTAAAGGAATAAAAATGACTTGTTATTGTATTTATAGGTGAAATTTTTTTGTGCACACATTAAATAACTCTGAGCCAATCTGATGTTTTGTTAATTAATATAAATGGTCCATGTGAAGTCGAGAGAATTCTGTTCATGGGACTGGGTAATTCTCTGTAATCTTTAAACTGCTGCCAGTGGAGATAGAAACTTGGTGACCTTAGCAATTTTTAATTCCCGTAGTGGTTGTATATTAACTCTGCAAGAGAGACTCGCCACTCGTCTCCACCCCCACAACTCAAAACTCACCCTTCCCCCTCGGCAGACTGCAAAAAAAATGACATTTCCGAGGAGGATGTGAAATTGTCATTATGTAAACTTAGTAATGAAACTTACTGGAATAAACGTGCATTACGAGGGCAGCAGCCGAGGGTAAAAAAAAAAATCCTCATGGAAAAGGACCTGCACTGTAACTGTGAATGGTGGTGAGTTTGAATATATCACTGCAGCAATGGTGGCAATGAAATGAGCTGGCAGTACTGACCGTTCTGTTTTGAATCCAATCCTACAATTCCTAACATTATGTAAGAGCAGTGTTGGTTGTGTGCCTTCATGTTTCAAGTTTAAAACCTGAAAGTTCCCATTCCCTCTCCTTTTTAATTATCTATAAAAATTTTGATTTGATTGAAACTTCCAAATGGTACTAAATAGACTAGCTGTCATTTTGTTGTGAGGACATTGAATGTGTGATTTAAGGCTACAGTATCACACATGTTATTTTGTATGCTGTCTGTTAGCTTTTGCCACTATTGAGCTAATAACGCAGTAGAACTTTTTAAAAGTCTTCTTTATATTCTGGCCACATCTTAAATCAGTAACCCTAACCGTATAAAACAGCTATTGCCACTGAAAAAGGACTAAAATGCCCCTGACATTACGACGTAAAATATGTACAGCGGGATGCCTTTCTCAGCATCCAAGGTTGTGTTAGGTGAGTGATTAATAAATAATGTCAATTTCATATGTTAGTGGATATCTGCAGCAAAGGGAGCAGAGAGTACACAACATTGAGTGGCCCTGCCATGTCTATCAATAAGGCTTATGTGCATCTGTAATCTTTTAAGGACCATAATTCACTGAGGCACATCAAAGAGCTGTATGAGAGTTATAATAGCTTGTCTCCACCATTGGCACTGTGGTTTTTGCACAGTGGCATACCACAAGATGTGTTTGACCTCTTAGCCACACACTGCTCTGTCTTCACTGCTTTTGATCCCCTGCACCGTTTGATCAGTATTATTGCCTCAAAGGAATTAACTGAAAACTCTCCTCTCTCCCGCCGAGTGTGTGTTATTAAATACCACTGTGTTGCTTTGAGCCAGCACAATTGACTTCTTTGTTTTGCTAACCGGTTTGATAACCTTGGCACTCATCCATGCTGGGATAGATGAGTGCCAGTATCTCTGTGGAGCTCTCAGCATCTGAGTCCCCATCCCAGATCATCTCATACACATACAGAGGCCGCTCGGCTGATGATGAATTTGCCAATATCCTTTGCGTATGCAGACGACTCTGAAAACCAAACTTTGAAGTATGAACAGCAGTGTGCTTGTACCACTGGCGAACATCTTTCACAAGTGTGTGTGTGTGTGTATAATGAATCTTTCAGCCATCATGTTTTGGTGGTATTAGGCTAAATTACAGTGGTCTCTATCTCTATCTCAGAAATGGCACAGGCTTAGAAACAGAACAAAGGAAGCTTCCGCAGGGTTCACTAATCTTTCCCTTTGCCATCTGTTGTCCAGAGGACAATGCCATCTCTGTCTTTAAAAGGCTTAATCTGTCAGTTCTGTTTTTGCCATACGTAGTTCTCACCCATTATGCCACAGTAAGTGTGGATGTCGACCGTATCTAGCTGGATTTGGCAGTATTTATCTTTTCTGTTGCAATGGCTTCAATGTGTGGGGGTGTGTGGGGGTGTTTATGTAGGTTGGGGGTTAAGGCGGTTTAGATTTAACTAGGGTTTGTTATTGCAGATAACATGTTTGGGAAATGAAGAACAGGTCATTCTGTGTGTTTATCCCTCTAGACGCTAAATGTTATCATGCTATCTTTCAATTTTTCCGAAATTCAAACACCACCAGTAGCCCACTTCCTCATCTTCTGTCCTTGCCTGTGACCTGAAGGACCCTGCGGCTCAGCAGAAGTGACTAATGTAGAATAAGATTACATTAATCACTGGGAACGTGACCTTACAACTGACAGATTAAGTGTCAAGAATAAAATTCTGTCTTGCAGCAAAGAAAGAGACAAACTGAGTGGCTGCCTAAGGAGATTACTGGCCCTGACCTTTATTTGAAGCGCTGTGGCTGGCTGTTCCCAGCCCAGACAAGTTTTATAAGTTTGGCTCACCTCGCTGTCCTTTCCACCCAGAAGCAAGTTTGAGTTTATCGAGCGGTGGCATACAAGGACAATCATTGTGTGTGTGTGTGTTTGTTTACTGGGTAAAGAAATGAGGCAGGGAAAGTGCAGAGGGTAGAAAATATGTATGTGAGGATCTGGAGAACATCATATACTACTTATTATGTGACAAATTTGATGAAAGCAAATCCCTGTCTGAAACGGAGTGTTTCCTTGAGTGTCCTCACCTTATCCTTTTTATTTCTATCCCTCTGCCCCTCTGTTTTCTCCATGCCTCTCTTTCTTCATCCCTCTTAGAAACCAGGCGATGAGGAAGAAGCTCATCTTATACTTCAAGAGGAGAAATCATGCTCGTAAGCAGTGGGTAAGTAAAGGACTCAACATTTTTGACTCTCTGCTGGTACTCATGACGGATGACTAGTGTGAAACTGGGCCAGCTGCTTCTGGAAGTGAGTGGCCATTTTAGGCAGACCAAAGAAGAATAGAGCTCTGGGCATGATCTGTTGTCAGTACTCTTACTGTACCCTGGGGAAGCGATTGCTTTTGAAAAACAAAAATTGTCTCAGACTGTCATCTGAAAGAAACATATTTTTTCTTTCTTTTTTCATACTTCTGTTGCATTCACTGTCAGCCAAGTGCTTATAACAAGCATTGTACAGGGTTAGTCTGCGCTCTTGCCTGCCAGTGACTGAGCGAGACTGAGCCAAAGAGCATGACTATAAATAAAGCAGGGATCAATTGGGTGAGCTCTGATGCTAGAGCAAGGCAGACATCTTATGCCTGACAGAAAATCGTTATTGCAAATCAAGTCCACAGTTTTACTATGAAATTTGCATCTCTCCACAAGTAGGAAATATGATGGGGAAAATAGCTTCTTTGTTTGTTTGTTTTTTTTGACTGCTTCCAACCTCTGAGATAGTGCCAGCAACACCTGTCTCACAGCCCTGCATGTTATCATTGCAAGTTTATATGAGGCCAGAAAGAACAGTTCAAATGCAGCCAACCGCCTGTGAGTTGTGGGCGAGTGTCCACTCTTCTCTCGTGTTGTGTCTAACAGGAGAGAGAGAGCCTCGTGGGCAGTGTGTGGGGAGACATCACCTTGTGGTTTATGAGCCTACAGAGGGTCGTGTCTCCACCAGGTTTAATGGTTTGCTTTACAACCTGCCTGTGAGGAAGCTGGGAAAACAGTGGGCTGTCGCCTGCCAGAGTTGTGGCTCAAGGCCAGACTCCCCATAGAATACCAACATGGCCCCTTCTGAATATGTAGCGGTACATGGTAGGGCACAACAGAGAGAACTAAGGAATATTACTGAACATAATTATTGAAACATAAATCTTTCAATGATGCGGCGGCCTTAAATATTACTCTGCACTTTGTGGATGTTTTGTTTTAGCAGTAACTGTTAAATGTTCTGTACTTTCTTTGACTCGGTGGTCCAAGAGTTGTGTGCCCTGAGATCAAGGGAAGACAGAAGTAGATGGGATTGATATTTAAGTGCATTTGCAGTGGACTGAGATCTTCGTCTTTCTGTGGTGCTTCAGGAACAGAAATTTTGCCAGCGCTATGACCAGCTGATGGAAGCCTGGGAGAAGAAGGTGGAGCGCATCGAAAACAACCCGCGGCGCCGAGCCAAGGAGAGCAAGGTGCGGGAGTACTACGAGAAACAGTTTCCAGAGATCCGCAAACAAAGAGAGCTGCAGGAGCGCATGCAAAGGTGAGAGCACATGATTTTTTTTCTCCCTTTCAGAACAGGCAATATCTGATTGTTCAACAGAGTAAAAGGCCCGCTATTCGTTTCTGGAACTCACTTAATGGCTTCGATTTGTTGCTTAGTTACTGTTATTGTAAAAAAAAAAAAAAAAAAAAAAGGACTGTGGATATGTTACTGTAATTTGTGGGTAGTCTTGATTGACAGGTCTTATTTTTCCTTTTGTAGCCGTGTTGGGCAGCGAGGAGGTGGGCTGACTTCATCTGCAGCTCGCAGTGAACACGAGGTCTCCGAGATCATTGATGGGATATCAGAGCATGAGGTAAGCACTTCTGTTAAGTATGGTTTGCCACTCCACTTGCTCTTCTGCAACACTTGTGTTCACACTATCACACTCTTGAAGTTCAAATTGCTGTCTAGATATCTGATTGTGTTCTGTGGCACACAAACTCAGTAGGCCAGGTCTCAATAAAATCAGCATTTTTTGGCTTCCTTGTACAGAAGCACATATGCAGTAAATAATATTTATAATAAATATTATTTAATTTCACTTGTAGTGCGTAGTTATAAAGTTGATTGAAACAACTTAACATAACTTAAAATAAATACATATCCTGCAGGAATGTGACTCAAACCTTCATAAATCATAGTTGATTTAAATAATTTTTAAAGTTTCAGAGGCATTTACTGCCCAATATTGGCCTATAATACAGCTGTTATACAGATGGTATGGTATGCCACTGGAATATTTGTGGTAGCTAAGCTAGCGGGCTAGCCCAAGCTTAGATACTACCCTTTAAGGCCACCACAGCCAAGCAGACAGCACAAACAGCACAGCTGCTTTCAATTGAAATGCTCCCAAAACTTTGATAGTTTTTACTGCCTGTCTCTTTTATTACAGCCTTCCCTCGTTTCTCTTTTCTCCATATTTAACCTGCGCAGTCGACACATAGCGTCAGCTGTTGGTGCATCAGTACTTATTATTATGTAATTATTAGTCTGTGTCTTCGTCCACTGTATACTAGTTCGATGATGAATCTAAACTTTGTGGCAGTGAGTTAACGTCAGCATGGGCTGCAAAATCACATCTATGTAGTAGCACAGGGTGAGGCGGGCCTCGCCAGGGGGGCTCCAAACAGTTTCAGGGGAGGCTCAGTGAATGGAAATGAAACACTGTTACATTACTTATTGCATTAGTTATCAAAAGGAGATCGCATAGAATAGCCTACATGTGTGAGAGTTCAGAGATACAGTAGTTTTGGGGAACGTTTTCTCCCCCATCAGAGTCAGAAACTAATAAATGCCTTAGGACAGACCTTTTTTAAAGCAATCTGGTGTAGTCAGAAGTTATGTCAAACAGAAATATTTGCCTATCTTGGCTCAAATGTTGAATCTATGGGATCAAATAATATAATCATGATCCCATAGGCATCCAGGAATTGAGCAAAACTTACCAAGTAAACGAAAGATGCGCCGTTTCGCAAGCTTTGTCTGAGGGGAGGCCCGCAGTCTCAGACTGTTAAGCCCTCTGCGGCAAATATAGATGCCTTATTCAGCTTACATGGTTCAAATATTTACTACAAAAAACATACAGTATATACGCGTAAGAATGACCTTAACGGATAAATGTCTGGCTTATCATAGATGTTAAAAGTCAGCATATGCAGGAGTTTTTTTGGGCTTGAGGTGTCAGACTCCTACAATGTGAGGCACTGCTCTTTGTGTTAAGGTTAAGTGGTGGAGGACCTAGCTGTGGTGTCCACTAGTCACACATTAGACCTGGTTCCCTCACGTCAGCCAGGTCCCATTATGCTGAGCAGTGTGTCCGTTTGGGTTGTCTTGTCTCATCTCAAGAAATGCTTTCTACTTTCCTAGCTCCTCAAAATAGCACAGTGCCTTTCCTTTACTTCCCTCCCCGATCCTTACTAACAGACATTATCTCATATTTAAGATTTTTTCTTTGTTAGGTGGTAAATTGAAGAGTGACAGGAAAGATGGCACATGGAACATGCCTTAGCCTGCTGAGCCAACAAGACACCCTAAACTTCCTCTCCTGTCTTCTGAATTCTTCCACACTTCAAAACAGAATGTATAACCACAATAGGTTTCATACAGTGCATGTCAATAGAAGCACCATGTTGTCAGATAGTTTCATTCTCAGGAGCAACCCACTCACTCCACTTGGTTTCTGTGTGTGGCATTGTGTCTGTCAGAACACAGAGAAGCAAATGCGACAGCTGGCAGTCATCCCTCCCATGCTGTTTGACGCTGAGCAGCAGCGCATCAAGTTCATCAACATGAATGGATTGATGGATGACCCCATGAAGGTGTACAAAGACCGGCAGGTTATGAACATGTGGAGCGAGCAGGAGAAGGACACTTTCAGAGAGAAGTAAGCAGAACACTTCGATGAAGTCATGACATAATTTCTTGTTTGAATAAAAAAAGTTTTTCCTTTTGTCCTTATTTCCTTGCGGCTGGATTGGGTTTCATTTGCTAAAAATAGCTTTTGGCTGCAACATTTTTGGTATCTGGCGTTGGAATGGAGCAGACTTTAGTTTTCTCTATTTTGTTATTTTCAGACTTTTTAAAATGTTTAATTAAATTCATTAAAATCATATTAGCTTTCAGCCTCATTCTCATTTTATAGGGAAGTGCTTAAAAACTTCTTTTTAAGCCAAAACATCACTTCCAGTAAAATATATGTGACTGATAAAGAGTCCATAAGTTGTTGGTAAGGAAGTGAGTCTTCTCCTTTCGTGAGAAATGAGAGGAGGCGTTTCAAGCTGCCAAATCTGATCAAACCCACAGAGTAAAGTCTGCCCACTGAAAAGCTTCAGTTTCTTCGAATATCTCTGATCCAAAACATTCAATAAGATATTTGATCACTAGTGACAGCAGTGTAATATTTGATGATTTTTTTTAAACATCAGGATTAACGAAAGTGATTTAGTGATTTCCTTTTTTTTTATATAGGATTTTCATTCTCCTTCAGCAAATGCCAGTGACTTTAAATCATTCCAGTAGCATGTTGCAATAAATTTTTGTTCTGCTCCCACAGGTTCATCCAGCACCCCAAAAACTTTGGTCTGATTGCATCTTTTTTGGAGAGAAAGGTATCGATTCATTTTCTTGTGTTTTTTTTTTTTTAATGATCCAGTCTTCTCAGGAAATGATGACTGAAATTACATTTCTTTCATGTTTCAGACGGTGGCAGAGTGTGTGCTCTTTTACTACCTGACCAAAAAGAATGAAAACTATAAGAACATAGTGCGGAGGAACTACAGACGCAGAGGAAGAAGCCAGGTATTCTACTCTTGCAAGCTAATAGTTCAAAAATATGCTCTATGTTGCATCAAGGCTCAATCATACAACAACCTTTTTAGGCCTGAACATCTTGAGGGGCACCAGTCCATCTTCTTTGAAGAAGAGCTGCACAGGCAAAAGCACTGGAAGTCTCCATTTGCTATTGATATGCAACCAAGAATTCAGCTATTGTCAGTCACTCACCTAACTTATCTAATGACAGTAACTAATAGCATCACTGTTTAAAGAAAAACCTGATTTCCATTTCAGTCATTACACTCCAGGCGTGGTGCCATTCTCTGTTATCAAACTAGTCTGGGATGCCACCACAACCGTGATGCTTTATTTTCTTGTGTGCAGTGGATGTAACTTACTTGACTCTGATTTTATGGACAATATGGTTAAACATTGTTTCTATGTGGAGTTGAACATGTTTTAACTTCGGGCACATGTTAGGGTCTGTTGTCTCTTTGCAAGACATACAATGCAGAAAACTGTGAGGTGTCTGGCGTGAAACAGCATTCAAAAGGATTTAAAGCCCTTGCTTAAAGTGAGTCCTGTGAGAGCACAACCTTAATTTCACTACCAGCACTGGAGCTTTAGTGATGTCTTTGCAGAACAGTGAGGTAGTCTAAGCCGCAGAATTCCTGATGAAGAGAAAAGCCAAAGGTCACACAGTTGTGCTGATTAAGTGCCACAATTTGCTCAACACTGTCATGTCAGCACCGTTTCCAGACTGACAGTTTTTTTTAAACTGGTCATTTCTATTGCTAATGAGCTCCCAGTTATTACTTAGCCTCAGATCAGGTGCTAGCTGTTAAACATCATAGTGATGGGCGCTAAGGAAATGGCACATTCATTTACTGATGACCTTTTCCTGTGGGTACGAGGATGGTGTGTCTTCATCTTTCCTGAAAAAAAACTCTGCTCATTACCTGGCGGTTTGCTCCACACCTCCTGAGTAGCAGCTTGTACTAATAGCTCACAGTCAGAGGGAGGTAGCTACAGAGGAGGAACAGAAAATGCTTCATGGCAGAAAAGCTGCATATACTATAGAGATTGTGTTTGGGTAGTGGAGAGATGGTGAGGATGATTGCTTAATGCAGATGTTAATGTGGGCCCCCCCTGTGCTGTGCCTGCTCTGTTGTCTTAACTACACTTTCTGTAGGGCTGCCCTTGGATCTTTTTTGGGGGCATGTTTAGACGCGGCGCTAACAGATCTCTTTAGTGATGGTGGACAGAGATTATTAGGCGGCTGATGTGTTTGGGGAAAGTGTCTGAGCAGCACATGAGGATGGGAGAACATTGAGTCCTATTTAATTATGGCTTTTATTTGTTTTCTCTGAGTTAATTTCAAAGAGAGGGAGAGGACATGTAGTGATATTGTGCAAATGGAGACAAATGTAGCTTCTGTGAGTGAAAGGTGCGATATGATCTTCTCTCTGCTATCTTGCTCTACCCATTCTCTTTTTCATGGTTCTACTTCTCCATTTTTGTCCTTTTTATGTTCCCTAGCCAGAAACCACACGTAATATCTTATTTTTTTTTAAGAGCAAATATGTAGATCAAAAAAGGTTCATATACTTCCGTGAGTATTGGGCCAAAGGCAGCAACTGCAAACACATCAAATAAACTAGTGAAGTTCTTATCAGTAACTATGTCTTCCTGTATATATTAAGGAGTGTCTAAGGTTTTTGGTCAGAGTGCATGTCTGTACTAATCTGAACTCTAACCCTACAAGCCCAGACAGGCAGGAAATTGGTAAGGAAGTGGTTCTGGGTGCTTAAAGAGCATATTTCGGAACTTTCGTATCCTGTTTTGTTTTGCGTGTGCAGAAAATGAATAGTTTTTAGTTTAGTACCCATTCTGTTATTTAAACAAGTGAAACCAAGTCTTTAGAAAATATTTTTGTCAAGTATAGGAATAATTGTGTGTTTGTGTGTTTTATGTTTTTGCAAAACACCATGGTGCGATTTATATCTGTGTCTTAGACACACATCTGATCTGCCACAGGAAGTGCCTCCTCACTCACTGTTTGCCAATAAGCAGCAAATGTATGTGGTGAAAAGACATAGATAGTGGCTTGTAATTACAGAGCAGAATCTGCTTAAGTGAAACAGTAATTTTACCTACTGACATACTTGGAGGCAGTTGTTTGTTTTGGATGTGTAATGTAGTATTATTTTGGCAGAAAATCAGTTACCCCCCCTTTACTGGGCCAAAAGATTGATCTCCATGGTCTGTTTTCTATAGTGAACAAAATGTAAATGCTATGCAAAATGATTTAGGTGGTCAGGATGTTTTTCGGTGCATCTGTGTATTCAGTTACCTGGGATTATCTTTGTAACGGAATTCGTTGTTGTTTATGTCTTCCTTGTCACAGCACGGCCAGCAGCAGCAACAGCAGCAACAAGTGCACCGAAGCAGCCAGGAAGACAAGGAGAAGGAGGAGAAAGAGAAGGAGGGAGAGAGGGATGAAGAAAAAAATGAAGCTGAAGACAAGGAAGATGGAATGAAGTGAGTCACTTTTAAATACTGACTAAACCTTCACTGTGCGCTGAACTATGACTTTACTTACTGATTCATTAGAAAAGCAAACTCACGGAGTGACTGGAAAAGATGCAGCCATGTGAAAACATTTCCTCCACTTCGTCTGAGCCTGAACTCGCACGGCTGCAACAATCTTTTCACTTTCCCCAATTCTCCAACACAATTTTAGAATTGTTCCAGGTCAGGCTGCTGCGAATAGAGTAGGAGTAAGTTTTGGCTAGGGGGAGCAGATCTGGAAATCCAATCATTCTGTAACCCTTGAGCTCTTACTCTCTCATCTCCAGACAGACTTTCCACCTACTGCAAATTCAAGTGGCCTTTCGTTCTCCCTATTAAAACAGCTGTTTTCCTGTTTATGCTTCTCCCCTTCCCAATAGGATGCCAATTGTCATTTTTTAAATTCTGTACTTATTTTGTTAGTCTGGGGTTTTTTGGTGGGGAAAATAAGCTGTATGATTAACCTAGCTGTCAATTTGAAATGTCAGTGTATAAGGAGGTATGTGTGTGGGTGGAAGGGTCGCAGTAGCGGTGGAGGACGGGGGTGTTTTCAGGCACAGTGCCAGCTAAGGATGCAAAACAACAGATTGAATTTCACTGCTTTCTGGTGCCTGAAAATAAGCAGTCTATGGGTGTATTCATGCACTATATTATGATGTCAGCTGAGGCTTTACACTACAGTAGTTTCAAGTAATAGCAGGTCATATTTATTAGCAGTTGTGTCGAACAAGAATATGATGATGAAGCACTTCCTGCTGCCTTCCAGCTCTGAGGCGAGGCCAGGGGACTCCGTGACTCCCAGCACACCCTGCTGCCTGCTGTCCCTGGCACAGCTGGCTTGCCTATATTTAGTGTGCCACCGGCTCCCCTCAGCAAGATTAATGGAGCTGGGGGAAGATGAATGAAGGTGCAGTGGGTTCAAATTTAGTGGCTGTCTCCTGGCATGCCATTGTGCTGACACTCTTAAGTTATCTTTAAAAAAAACCAACAAAAAAAAAACGAAGACAGAAGCAGCAGTGTCTGTATACACGTTCACATTTGGTCTTCCAATTTTGTGTTTCACTCTGCAGCTTTCTCTAGTTGCCTGTCCTCATGCAGACAAACATGCCAGTGCCCAGATTTCTGGCACTAAAGCCAGTGCAATGTAGAGGCCAAAGCAGCATTAGAGACAATGATGGCATGGATGCAAGTTTGAATTACATTTTTGGGATTTGCTGAATAGCAGCATGGCCCACATTTGCATCTCAGAAAAGATTGCATTGGTATTTTTCCACTACTTTAGTGTACATGCCAGCAGTACTGTTGCAGTGGCACATTTTTGTTGCTGGCTCTTTACTTTCGGCACATTGGCTTTGAAATGAAACAATGAAGTAGAACTTTCTGAATTAATTTGGTGTACATTTCTTAAATTTACAACAGTTCATGAATTATAGCTATTTTTATGTATTAGAATAGACCTAAATTCCTCATTTAATATTTGGTTGCACTTTGCAGTCAGTGACAGCCTAAAGCCCTGCGAACCCTAGTTATCTTCCTTGGTGATGCTGTATCTTGCCTGTACCACAGCCATCTTCATTTCTTGCTTGTGTCAGTGGCCCTTTTGTCTTCAGTTTGATCTAGTAAAACGTAAATATACTCCGTTGGATTGAAGACATCTGGTTGTTTGGCAATAAAAGCACTGTTTTTTTGTCTAAATGATTATTATCAGTGTTCTACAATGCTCTACAATCTCTTGTTGACTGTGTTGACATTTCTCAAACACAGGGATGACACCTCTGGAGAAGATGCAGAGGACAAAGAACCCACTGTGGCTTTCAAAGGTCGACGCACAGCCAACAGCCAGGGGCGCCGCAAGGGCCGCATCACCCGCTCTATGACGAGTGAAGTGGAGGAGACCACCACACCGCCACTCAACAATGAGCTTGGTCAGTCTCAGCTGCACTGCACCAAATTAGTGTTCCTCTAGCTAGTAACCAAACTCATTAAGCATTTAGCTACAGTCACATTGGATACTGTAAATAAAAATGGTGGTGTGGGTAATACATTACGAATATAATTGTTGGTCAAATCACAATTAAACCATAGTAATATACCAGATAAACACAAGGGCATGACAAGAAACTTTATTTCATATTTATTGTGTGTGTTATTTCTGGGCGCGAAACTTTAAGATAATAAAATGGCTAAACCAGTAATGTAGGGCAAAAAAATTATTTTTACCATTACCATTACCCATCAGAAGCAATTACACAAAAGAGAAAGTTTACATAATAAAAATGTTTCACAACTGTCACGCAGGATTGACATTGTCACCTTTGATCTAGTTTTGGTCTCCTGTTCCACACCACAAGAGCGCACTGTTGTTCCTTTTCCTCTTCATTCACTTATTCACATTCAGTCTTGCTCTCTCAGATTTGTGTGGCGAAGTGACGACTGCATGAGCTATGTAGTTTAAATCCCATCTGTTGGCAAAAGACAAAAGTATTATTTAAGGACAAAATACTCAGTGTGTCAGCAGTGTCCCCCCGCTTAGCTCTTTGTTTCCTCGCAGATGGTAAGTCAACCGTGCACACACTAACACTCTCGCTGCAAGCTATCAGGGATTTTTGATGTTTCAGCAGTTGTGTGTATACGCTGCAGTCACTCCCCCAGCACAGGTTTAGTCACAGGGAATCCCCAGGTGGCTCAGGCTGCAAGGGCTCTCATCAGCGGCCCCCCTCCACCACTGTTTGTTCCCCTACTGGCTGCAGTGCCAGCTAGGCTACTGTGGCCTTCGCAGGTCCAGATAGAGGACACGTAAGCACAGGCTTCTGCGCCTCTGTCTGCCAAGAAGGGCCAGGGTCGGACTGGCTTATGGCCTGTGCAGGGAAAGAAGCCAGTTGTTATGTCTATAATCATTAACTGACTTCTCTCCTTGGATTTCCTGCTTCCTCCATCTAAAACAAACAGTCCCTAGCGACCCATGCTGCAGAGCCTCACTGGCAAGCAGCACAAGCTACCCTGCCCCCCACCCTTTTATTCGGTTTTCTTCTCTAATTTCACTCTCTCCTTCCTTTCCTCTTGTCAGTCACTCCCTAACTGACTTTGTGACAACTGCCCACCCCCCCTCCCCCCCTCCCGCCTTCTCTAACTCTAACTTGGTGGTTCTCTTTTTCTTTTTTTTTTTTTTTTTTTAACAGCCAATCTGGAAATGAATGAGAGCTCTCGCTGGACTGAAGAAGAGATGGAAACTGCCAAAAAAGGTAATACAGAGTAAATATTTCTTCTCCCTGTGAAGTGTTAACTTCATAGTAGTTACTGTGCATTAATAGTGATGTCAAGGGAAACTACACGAGTAACAGCTCAAGCACTGTTTTTCCGAAAGCATAGACAAGTGATGCGGCTGTGACTTCCTGTTAGTGAGGCGGCAACTGCCACGTGCTGCTAGGTTGCGTCTATGCCTGTGTGTGTCGGTCTGCCCGGACTGGGTCTGTTGCTCTTTCGAGCCATTTCCCCGTCTCTCTGGGTCAAGGCAGCCTGTCTTTTTATCAAGCAGGCTGTAAAGTCTGCCTCTTATCAGCAAGCCCCTGTAAATGCAGCAGTCATTAACTCAGCCTGTTTATTGTCTCCGACTGAAGATTACCCAGACGCCTATGGCTGATTTACAGAGGTCGCTGACATTCTGCCCATTTTCCTAGCACCAGTGCCCTGTGTGAGTGTGTTTGACAGCATTTGTTCTGTGCAATCTTTGAGTCTCAGTTACTGATGTAATGAGATCACCCTCAGTGGTTTCTAATGCACACCACCCTTGGTATTCTTTATATTATGGATTCTACCAGATTGATGGTCAGAACTGGTTCTCATCTGTTTGCATATTTACATGTTCCAAGAAAAGGTTATGGGGGCTGATGGCAGTAATGTTGATATTTGTAAATCTCTTTACCTACGTCCGTAATTACCAAACGTCAGCCTGAGCTTTGTATTTAAATGCGTCTCTTTCTAGATGAAGTACCGGCTTTGTAATGTCAAGTCCTGCAGTCTTTACATGACTCACTGCAATTTCACTGCAAGGTGGCTTCTTTGTGGCCATTTGTAGATGATGTGTCATCCAGCTTTGTGTGACTCTGTTCTGCTTCTGACTAATTTAACCTGTCTTCCCTTGTAGTCAACAGTAGATGAAATGCCTTTTGCAAGCAGCCATTAGCGGCTTGAATGTGATATTGAAACCACATTTAGTCTAGAGGAGTTATCGCAACCATCTTGTGCTGTGTGTGTGTGTGTGGTGTCTCCTGCAACTTGGGGTTTGTGTATGCGATCAGGTTTGTGTGTTAAGGGGTTATTTTGCGATAACTGTCGCTGGCCTGGTTTGGACATGGTCCTGTGTAGTAATCCTGGTTAATGTCTTCAGTTCCATTCTCCTGCAGTGGGATTAGTGGGGCTCTCCATCCCAGAGGATTAGCCTGGCAGCTCGGTGGGAGCACGGCTTCTATGAAGGGCTTATGTAACCACAACCACAGAGCCCCAGCTACAGTACCAGGGGCCGAAGAGGAGGAACTGCTCATGCGGTTTTTCAGCAGTCAAACAACCACCCCGACACCTGCCAAAAGGGATTCCCCTTCCAAGAACTCCAAGATCGTACCCCACCCACCCATTTCCTCATAGATATTGAGTAATCTCGTCAAGGGGCTATCCCTTGTAGGTGCTTAACATGTTTATATTTTAAACGGGCTTATGTGTCCTGATGCTAATGTGTTTATTCCCTTGACCTAAACAGATCTGAATAATTCCAGCATGGCAGCGTCGGCCAGCGCGGCCTTCGAGGATGGCATGGCCACACTCAGAGATAGATCACTCTAGTCTTCACTGCTCATAAAGACCTCAAACAAGGGACTGACAATCTTTATAAAACCTCAAAACCCACGAGCTCTGCATTTGTGTGTGTGTGCAAAATATGTGTAGCAAAGGTTGTGTGTGTGTGCGCACTTTGTCCAAGCTGTGTGTGTTTGCATGTGCACCCTTCTTGGCTGGCGTTTATGTAAGTGCACTAATCTGGCAGGCTTTGCTTGGGTGCAGGCAGGCAGCTGGATAATGGCCCCTGCTCTGCTTGCTGGAAGAACCCATTTAAAGGAGCAGCAGGTAGAGAATGAATGCCATATTATTTTTTTCTGTCCCTCTCCTCCACTGTTGCTCTATCTCTCTTTCGTTCTGTCTGTCTCTCTCGGATGGGTGATGGCAACGGCCCAGATTGGCAAGAGCTGTGGAAGATTTGGCAAGTGCCTCTTTCCCCCACTCACTTTGTTTCTCCCATCACTCTGTGTTGTTATAGACTGGAGAGAGGTCACATTCAAGATGAAAAGCAGGTCAGTCAGGAAAAATGTGAAAGCCTTTATGCTTTCTCATGGTATCAACATCAATCCCCCCCCCCACCCCCTCCACCCCTTCTCTCTTTGCTTACTCTCCACTTCTGTATCCTTTCCCTTTTGCCATTGTCTCTGGCTCAGTGGCTCTGCTCTCTCTCTCTTTCCTCTCTCCCTGGGCTGCTCTCTCTCTGTGTCTCTCTCTCTCTCTCGCTCTCTTTGCTCTCTGTTTACTCTTGGACAGACTGAGTGTGTGTTTGCGCCTGTGTGCTAGAGTATTAACAAGAGAGACGGAGAGAGAGAGAGTTCAAGTGAGTGTGTACTCACTCATGCGTTTGTGTGTGTGTGTCTGTGTGCGTGCCGCGGTGCCTGCTGGCAGACTGAGGTAGGGGGAGGGACGGACCGACAGAGAGGGAGGGAGGGAGGGGGGAAAAGAGAGATAGAGGAGAGATCAGATGAGGGGAGAGAGAGGCTGAGCACATAGCACCGCCCCACAGTCCCACTTTCCTGTGGAAGTCTTCCCAGACGACCGCCATTGGGGAGAGACACGGCAAAGAAGAACAGACCAGCATTAACCGAAGCACAGGGAGGACCGAGTGAGAGGGAAAGGAGGGGAGAGGCCAGGAGCATGTGCTGTTTTGGAGCATGTCAACCTGACACCGGCTCAAGTATCAAGCCAGCTGGCAGGAAGAGCGCCGAGACTGAGCTGTTTTCATCTCCTCCGCTCTGGATCGGAAGGCCCAGCCCTGAAGAGCTTCCCGGCTAGCCCTCCAGAGATCAGACCGTCTGATAGTGTTATCCACTGCAGGGCCACGAGACGACGGGCGGAGTGACAGGCATGTGACAGACAGGAACAACCACTTTCTGGCTGCACCAGGTGTTGATTGGACTTTCTCTGGGAGGAGCTAATGGGAGTACAGTGTCCTGATTGGGTGGGAGGCTACCACCTGCTTCAGTATTGCTGCTGCCGATTGGATGTTTGTTCCATGTGTGTTGCTCCAGCAACTAAGGCCCTGAATCGCTGCTTGGGATTGTGCTTTGTGTGCTTGCATATGGTGGACCGAACTGAATGAAACCAGAGGTCATAACAAAGTGATCTTTGACTTTTAGTAAATCGATTGCTTCAGGTTCAGTGTGTGCAGCAACATGTTTGTCTTACTTTGAATGCTTGTGATGTTATGCCACTGTTTGTGTTTGTTGTTTGTCTGAGCATGTGTATGTTTGTGTGGCAGATTGGAGGCAGTCTGCCCCCTCCTCCCTCTTGTGAGGCAGCTGTAAAAGGTTAATAGGTGTCGGTCACGTGTCTCAGTTCTCTTGGAGCAAGGCCGTCCGGTCTTTTCTTTTCTTCCTTGGAGACGCTTTCCTAGTAATGCCTTTAGTGGCAACGATGAATATTTCAGCTGAAAAACCTCTTCCACTTTAATACTTGACAGGTTGTAGGTGCACAGCAGCTTTTAGACACCAGCAGCTCAGACTTGAAGATCACCGTTGCCTGTTAGTGTAGTCCTTTTTATACTGGCATTAATAAATTCTCAGCATGAAAGTGAATATTATACCTCTTCTCACATCTGCTAGATGATGCACAGCTTTTCTTGCCCTTTTGGCAAAAGGGATTTTTTTTTAATTTAATATCAATACTTATGTGTAACAGAGGTAGTGTTGGACTTTCCTCAGTGCACAAATAAATATGATAGAAATGGCTTTGCAAGGGATGACTTGAACTTGATGTTACCATGCAGACAGTTCTCTGGATGCTTTTCTGGTGACTTGTTTACTTAATTATAAGTATCCCTGTACACATAAACAAACAGTCATATGAACAGTGGCCTAGAAATTAAACTTTTGAAAAACTAATAGACCAGCTTTTATTGCAGCTATTACTTATTAATAGCATTATTCAGTAAAGCGTTGGTATCAGAGAGTGTCTCTCTGATTATTACGACAGTTGAAATGACAAGGCTGTAAACAGCTGTCCTTTCCTCTCCTTTGGCTTGGACTCCTAGTTGTTGTCATGCTGCCTCCATTAAGCGATGAGAAGCGGAGACCTCTGAACCCATGTCCAAGGTTATCCCAGGAGTTGTTGGCATTGTGCATGTTAATAACACCCCCCTCCCCCCCACAACCCTTTGAGAGTCTGTCCTGTTGCCAGGAACTGTCAGACTGGCACAGGAAACAAGTGGGTGGTGTAAGCTAAGCCTCTTACAACACACACTGTTAATGAGCTGCCTTTAGCTAACAGCAGACTCTTTGGGGGGTGGGTGGGGGCAAATTGGAGCAAATCCTACGCTATCTGTCTTTCTCACTCACTTCCACTTACACACCGGCTATTCTCTATGTCTCTTCTTTTAGCACACGTTACACTAAGCGGTTGTGTATGTGCGTGTTTCATGACAAGTTGATCTATCACAGCTCTGGCCCAGCGGGTGCCGGTAGACTCTTGTGTAAGGCACAATCATGTGGTTGACTGGGTAAAGGACAAGGGTTTCTTAGAAATGGGTCACATCAAAGTCAGTCAGTTTGTGACAAGAGAGAAACCCGAGTGGAGAGAGAGTTTGTGATGTCATTGGTTGACTGTTCAGCCACACACCACCACTTCTCCCTCTCTGAATTTTTCACTCTGTCTCTCTCTCTCTACATAGGAAGCATATGGTGTCAAGCTATGCTGCTGCTGGGAGAGTGTGACTGTCCAGGTTGCATTGGGAACTAGACTCCCAGGGTGTGCTACAGTTTTGACAGCTGTATAGAGACAGATGTTTATGACTATTAATTTACCATAGAGAGACGACTCATACTGTGTACTTAAGGAGATTGTGGTTGTAGATAACCAGAAAAACAATTCCGTTACTATCTTTACAGCAAGTTCACTTTGCCCAGCTTTACAATTGCACAGAGATATCATGTGATACTGAATTGAGACGTAGTTATGCAAGGCCGGATGATAGCCATGTCTGCCTGTCTTTGTTCCTGTCCTATTCTAATCTCTCTGTCCATCTGTTATTTCCAGGCCTTCTCCAGTATGGTAGGAATTGGTCCGCCATCGCCAAGATGGTGGGATCAAAAACCGTGTCACAGTGCAAGAACTTCTACTTCAACTACAAGAAGAGGCAGAAACTGGATGAGATTCTGCAGCAGCATAAAATGAAATCGGTAAGCACGGGAAAAGTTTGAGCCATATTTGCCCCACATGGTGCTGACAGTCATGCATGCTAAATGTGCACAACCAAGTTAGAAGGTTATTTCTGGTTGTCTTTGTTCCCTTGGTTGCTTTTATTTAGTGTGTGTTTGATTTGACCCAGGAGAAAGAGCGAAAGGCCCGTCGTAGGGGCAAAACCCTGCAGAATGAGGAGGCCAGTGCCCCGTATGCAGCAGAGGAGGAAGAGATGGAGGGTTCAGGAGCCAGTGGCAATGAAGAGGAGGCCCCTGAAGATGGAGAAGGTACACCACTCCCAAGAGATACATGCATAATGCAAATTGCCAAAACATTTGATTTTTTTGAGCATAATAAATGTTTTACTGTTTCAAAAAGGAGGCTTTTTTTATTACACTGTATAGTATTTTTTTGCAGTAGCAGCATGGTTCTGTTGATTTGCATTTAATTATGTAAGATGATTTTAAAGTCATGCTTGGTTGTCACATGTAAATAGTTAAGCAAAATGGATTAAGCTAATACGGACCCTCCCTTTTTATTAGGTACATCTGTGCAATCTAATCCCAGTACAATCCAGTACAACATATCTGCCACAAATTATAACTTAACAAAGTTTATAATGGCCAGTTTTTTGTTTCAAGTTTCCAAGTGGTGTTAATTCAACTATATGTTTTATTATTGAGGTCGTATTTAGTTGTGTCGAATAGCTCTTGTACTGGATTGCATTAGATTGTACAGGTGAACCTGTTAAAGTGGCCACTGAGTGTAATGTAACAGCAAACTCTTTGAGAGGCTCCCCGTTAGCTTGAAGAATCCTGTTCTGCATTGACAAACATAAAAGTTGAACCCTGTTGTAGTTTGTTGATACAAGTATACTGTGTAGAATGTACTTCCACAATAGACCGCTGAAGCCCCAGGGGATTTTGTCCATCAACCCAATTGGTTTTGTGTTGCTCTTTATTGTACAGTGAAACCTGATTAGGCAGAAGACTGGCACTGTGAAGAATCTAGTTTAGCAGAAAGAGATGGGGGGGGGGGGGGGGGGGGGGAAGAAGAAAAGAACAAGTAGATATAACATGAGTCTGTGTTTCCTTTTGTCCTGCCAGGTGGAGCTAACAACAGCTCTGACACAGAGAGCTTACCCTCACCACACTCATCAGAGGACAGCAAGGCTAAGGAGGAAGGCTCGAGCAGGTCAAAGGCCAGCTCCAACAGCGGCGACAAGGAGGCAGCCGGGTCAGACATGGGCCAGGCAGGGGATGAGAAACCTCCTGTCAAGGAAGATGCAGACTCAGCCATCAAGCAGGAGATAAAGACTGAGGCTGTGGAGCCCAACAAAGAGCAGCTGCAGCCAATATCACCCAGTGATGCCACAGATAAAAAACCTCCTACAGCAGAGACGGAGGAAATCAAAAGCTCCACCAAGAGCTCCAAGAAGGACCATGGGGCCAAAACAGGCTCCCATGGGGACAGTGACTCTAGTGCCACTTGTAGTGCTGATGAAGTGGAGGAGACCGATAACACAGATAAGAGCAGGTAAGAACTCATAGCAAGAGGTGAAGTGGAAATTAGATCATCAAAAGATAGTGATTTCCTTTTCATTTGAATTAAGTATGTTTTTGTTTTCTCAATGACTTCATTGGGTCTGCTTGCCAGTTTTGATGTGAAAGGGCTTCAGTTATTGAGCAGTGGTTTACTAGTTGTCCTACTTCACTGATCTAACTCAGCAGATATTAGAAAATAAAAAAGCAAGGGTTATGAAGTGTTATTAGTTGCCTAGCTACCCTGTACAGCGGTGAAGCCATATTTGGTAAGCCACTTATGTGTATACCAAAGGTTGCTCTTTTCTATCAACCATATATATATGTGTGTGTGTGTGTATCTGTGAATAAGGCCAGAAATGGGTGTCAGAGTGCGTGGGAGAAGCGATTAGTCTTGTTTGCACGGTATTTGTTCAATTTTTTCCATGACAGCAGACTGCATGTACTGGCAGAGCCAAGGGAAACGCTGCCCTCTCTGCCAGAGCAAACAAAGGGAGGGAGAGAGAGAGTGTGTGTGTATGTATGTGTGTGCATCAAAGTGTGTGTCTATGATTCAGAGGATGTTCTCTGCTTTCAACAGATGTGCATGACATGGATATGGATTTTTAAGTGCAATTTGTTTCCACAGGCTCACGCTCTGTCAACATACGTCCTACATGTATCACACACATGCACATACCCCATGTATTCCTGCTGTTCCCCATCATTTAAATACTGAAATACTCCGTTTACTAAGTGGGGATTTGTAATTTTGCCTGTGTCTCCTGGGGGAATGGGTAGGCAGGCATGTGGGATGGAAATGTAATCAAAACCTCTACCCTCTGTTGTTGTTGTTTTTTTTAAAGATAAAAAAAAAATGAGTTTGGACTCAAGTGTGCAAAGCCAATAAGAGAAGGCACTAACATATTTGTCTCTCGTGTGTGTGTGTGTGTAGAATTACTTCTCCACGGCCAAGCCTGCTGAACTACACTCATGACGGGGTCATATCCTCCCCGCTGCAGAAGCCCATGGACCTGAAACAGCTCAAACAGAGGGCTGCTGCTATACCACCTATTGTGAGTCACTAATTCAACTTTGTGTGTCTGATTGTGCATCAATTATTTATTTTTTTTCCTCACACAACAGCTAGGTGAGAGCATCGCAGCTTTTCCGGCCTTGGAAAGTGTCTTTGACCCGAGTAGTGTTTTGTAACTGATTTGTCCAGCTCACACAGGCACACGACACACTCCATTGCGGTGGTATCATTGTTATAACTGTCTCTGCTTAGAGAGATTGTTAAGTCATATTTGTGTACAATAAGCCAGCCAGATGGAGGAGGATGGGATAGATTGCTTTGTGGAGAAGAAATGAGATCCCAGGTATTATGGAAACTTTAGCTTACCAAGAAATAAGAGATGTTTATTAGCTATCATGTTCATCAGATACTGTATGTGGCTAACCATATGTCAAATGCCAGTTAGGGGTGGGCTAATGTTATGTGTGTGGTGTGATTGTAAGCTTTTTTTTTTCCTCTTATCCTTGTGTGTAGATGCCAGAAGCCTCCATGCAGGGCAGTCAGCGGAGTGGGGGTGGTAAGGCAGTGCGCCCTCCCCACGCCCTGGCACTCTACCAGCAACAGATCACCATGGCTCATGGGGAGTCCTCTCAGGAGGTGCAGCAGCAGCAGCAGCAGCAGCAGCAGCAGCAGCTTTCAGGCCAGCCAGGCAAACAACAACAGCTTTACACCACACAGGCAGACAGAGACAGGGAGGCTCTTCACAGCAGCAGCCCTCGTATTCGCCCCCGCAGCCCCTCCACCAGTGACAAGGATGGTAGGCACACCTCCATCATTACAGAAAACTACCTTTTAGACCTAATCATCAATACACATCAATACATCACAAGTGAGATAGTATTTAGAGTAGTATAGCATGTTTTGTAAGCTGCTAACGTTACAAATAAAAGAATATTCCAGCATTTGTCTCAAATCTTCTCCCCCTTCATCTTTTTCCCATGCCATTATTTTCTTTCTGTATGATCCCTATTGTTACTATTCTGCAGGCTTTGTGTTTGTATAACATAGCACGTTGCAAAAGTTGTCAATTGTTGTCAAATTAAAATATGTACGACACATGGATTTTTGGATTAGTGTTGTAAATGAGGAATAATGAAATGATAAAAAGAAAATGGAGGTTAATTAAAGTGCTGCGTGTTATGCAGTTTTATTAGCATTTGATCTAGTTTTACTTAGTTGGTCCTCCTTGCTGCACGTGCTAACCTTGAGCCTCTGTTCTCTAGTGCTTAGGGTATTCAAGTGTTTCTGGGACACTCGTGGAGAGGGAACTGATAAATGATCTGGTATTGCTATTGACCCAGAAGGGAATATAGTCTAGTTCAGTGCACTTACTGTGAGCTTGTGGAATGTGAATCTGAGAGCACAGTGTAAGACTTTTAGTAACAGTCCAGACAAAGACAGGTCTTTTATAAGCAACTGGACACAGCAGCTCTGATCGCTAAAGAACAGCAAACACTGTTTTTATTACTTAAAATAAAAAAATATCTTTTCACACAGAACCTGCCACAGAGGCAGGTGTAGACATACTTCAAGCTATATTATAGCTTCTATTTGCTAGCATTTGGATGTTGGCGAATACAAAAGTCACACCATGTGATAAGTATAGTTAAGTGTTTATGTAATTAGTACATGTTTTTGTGTGAGAGAAAAAAATTCTGTGAGGATGCGATGATCTGTGGTGTGTTTGTGTCCCTTCAGAGCTGGAAGGCAACGAGAGGTGGTTACTGACCCTCCTGCAGGGATTAAGTAGGTTCACCCCTTGCCACACCATTCCCTTTTTTAATTACACCTTAACAATGCAGAGTGATCACCTCCTCTGCTGGATTTTACTGTCTGTACTTTACAATTAATATTAGCAGTGGCTTGTTGTGAATGTTGGCGTGTTAATGCAGTGGTGATATCACCATGACTGGGAAGAGGCGTGAGGGGCTCTGTGTGCTCACAGACGACAATGATGACAATTTGAGCGGAGGCTAAAGGACAGCTTCTTGGATTAGTGGAGGTCTAGCCGAATGTTGCGCTTTGGTCTTCACTCTGCTTGTGTGTTGTTGTTGCAGAAAAGTCCCGGGCTTTCTCTCCGCATGGTGAGGCCAAGAAGCAGGCAATGGGTCCTGATGACCTGAGGACCTCTAACATGGGTCGACAAGTTCTCTCCCCCTACCCCATGTCCCCGCGAGACATGGCCAAGATCACTCATGACCAGCACCTGCTCCACTTTAGCTGTGAGTCCTCTTCTATTTCCTGCAGTCTTAATATTCTTAACCAGCCTCAGTTGTAATATGTATTATATATTTAATTATGGGAACTTTGAACAAAACCTCTACTTCTTAATGCTAAATTGCCTCTAGAAACCCCAAAATCTTAAGGCTCATAATCTCTTCTGCCTTCCAGCGTTCCAACAAGCAGGCCACCCCTCACTCTCCGGTCTGCCACAGGACAGTGGTAGGCTAGCAGCAGTGAGGCCCCTCACGATGCCAGAGCCACCACCACTCATTTCCTCCACCAAGCCAGGAGGCTCCATCACACAGGTATAGTACACACCACATACGATATTAAGACACAGATTTAAAAAATCTGACAAACTTCTTTTGATACAATAACAAGAATACTGTTTATCACCATTATGACCAAATACTTGTTTCTGCAGGGCACCCCAGTGCAGTTGCACAGCCCAGCCCACGGGTTGGACCACGGGAAGATGCCCCCCACACAGATGGGCTTGTCTTGGATGGATCAGAGGAAAGTGGGTGAGTAAAATTGTCTGGAGGGACTAGTGCACTTCAGGTTTTCTTTCCTGTAAGTTGCCATCCAGTTCTGCCATGGCCATCACAACTGATAATGAGGTCCGATCATCAGATGCACTACCATAGGTGTGTCTTTCTCATTACCGTCTCTCTGTTCATCCTTTGCTTTTTCCAAACTGTCATTTACTACGCAGCAGGTTCTTTCCCCGTGATAAAGCAGGAACAGTTGTCTCCTCGCAGCTCGTCCTCCCAAGCTGACAACCTGTCGACCCAGGGGGCGCCTCATGATAGTGCTGCTGGACGTGGTGGGTGGCTCACCTTTTCTTCGCTTTTTTATTTATTTTCCATATGCAGTAAACTGGTATTAGTGCTTTGCTTCTGCATCTTTCTTTGTCCTGTGTTGTGTCTAAAGAATGAAAATATGAAGATTAATTTTTACCATGTTTTGTGGATAAGCTCAGGTTGCAGTATAATAGTTAAAAAATTAGTTTTTGTTTGCTGCCACAGAAAATAAATAATAAGTCCCTTTTGATGTAATGCTACAACAGCGCCTTCTACTCTTCACAGCAGTCAGTGAAAAGCTAGCTATGTAGCCGTTTCGACTCACGACGCTGTAGTTATTTATGAGCCATATCGTCCCGCCCTACCTCCTCAGCATGACGCTGCACTGAGGCTCACAGCAAGGACAAAGTGACTTGAGTGTCTCTAAATGTACTTGAGTGGCCCAGGCTAGACTTCTTTTCTTTTGTTAGGCCAACTGTACAGAAAACTTTATTCCCATTGATTTTTGTTTACTTTGTGTTCCACTACTCTTAACACTGCTTTTCTTTGTTATTGTCTTTAAAGCTTCTATTCAAGCTGTTCAGGGCGGTAGTATCACTAAGGGCATCCCAGGGACCAGAATGCATCCAGATTCCTCAATCTCCTACCGAGGGGGCTCCATTACTCAGGTGAGTTCAGACCAGCAAATTGCTGAGAGTATGGATCCTTGCTAAAGCAGAACCACATAAAAATGAAGTCAGTTCAGTTTTGATATGTTTGAGAGCAAAATAACTTCAGCAAGGATCCCCTTTAGACCACCTTTTTTTTGTTTACCTTTCAAATACTCTTACACTGCTAGTTTAGTGATAATAAAACCTGTGGCAGAATCTCCTGTTTGTGCAGTTTGTTATCGTTGTGTTGGGTGTGACAGTCCTGATGTGGTGGCGTTATGAATATTCTGCTGACAGTGTTCAAGTTGTCAAGTAGTACGTTACAACAGACAACTGACACAACAGTTCTCTTCCCCTTTATTTGGAGAACATCTAAACAACTGCTAAAATTCATAGAAGTAAGTCAGTTTATAAATTAACCACTGTAAATGAGCTGTGATGTAGGATTATGAGAGACTTGTTATCATATGTAAGATGATATTTGGCCCAGTGTTTCCCCACACATCACTGTGCAGGAGTAGCACTCTGAGGTTAATGTGATTTGCCTTGTCCAGAGGCAGATTGATGCAAATGGTGAAGTGAAACTGGTGGTATGTTAAACTGTGTTAAGGGTCATGATAGTTGCAGCTCACAGCACACAGACACCTCACACTCATTTATTTTCATTACCCCCACCTTCTATGATAGTTCTCACTAGTTTTAACCATATGGATGCTGTCATTTGCCCCTGCCCTACCGTTTAAAGCCTAAGCGTTTAAAGTAGGGGCCTTCATGTTACTGGGCTTTGATTTATGTACTTGTGATGAAAGAGTGAGCTGTTGAGACGTCATGAGGCAAGCCAAGCTGTGGCTACTGGATTCCCCTGCTGCTGTGACATAACTCACAGCTGTGAGTGGCCCTGTCACCCCTAGTAACAGGTACAAGCTGTACCGCTCTGTTCCCTCTATTATTTATCTGTTTACTCTAGACTGGCTAAATCCAGTCATTGATATCCCCACTGTAATATCACATCCAATTGGCACACAAGAGAAAACGAACGTTGAAGGGGCTGTTATCAACATGATTTGTAAGGAAAAGGTGAATGAGAGAAAGCATAAGCAGTGCTTTTGTAGCGGGACAGCTCCTTTTTGTTTGTTTAGCTTGCAGCTATTTGGATTGCTAGATGTGTGTGTAACCACCCAGATGATATGGCATTGTTGCGCTTTCTTATGGAATAAATGAGGACTGCTTTGGTCATTGCCATCTGATCTTGTACATAACCCTCCCTCAGCAGTGTCTTCTTGGAAAAGCTGCAATCAACACACAAGAAATGTGATCTCAGGCACATACTGCATCTCTAACTCAACCATACACCCCCGCTCTCAAACAGTGTAGAAATATTACTCATAGTTGGTTTTAACAAAGCTGCCTGTTGTCGTCTACTGTTGCCAAATTGGTTGCACCTCCGCTTCTTCAGGGAGTACTACTTTGTTTTTCACAACTGTGTTTGTTTTGTGTGTGTTGTTTGTTTATTTATTTATTTATGTAACTGGATCCACGATATCTGTCACTGTTGTAACAAACACTCTTTCTGGGGCACAAACTATTCAAGAAACAGAATACACGTTATGTATGTAACACAATCTGCAGTCAAATCAGCTGCTCCAATTACATCCAATTCAGCAATCCTGAAAAGAAAAGAGTATTCACAATCACTCACACTATCTGTAATTGTATCAGTCAGGGTTGTTTGTGACCTCCAAAGACTTCTAAGCTGTTGTTTGTTAGGAGCTTTATAACAGACATTGGTTAATTATTCTATTGAGTATTAGCTATATATATATATATATGAGACACCGTCTGTTTTCATTGCATTGGTTCTGTCATGTCCATTATCAGGTTTCATGTTAGGCTATATAACAGAATTGGCTATCTATATTGTAGAGGTATGAACCTCACAATATCCATCCAGCAGTGTAATTACCTGAGGCTGACATGGGCATTTCTACTGCAAGCTGCTAGCCTGTTTAGTTAGATAATAAGTAGGAACCTACATAGCCTGTTGCTTTCTGAGAAGAAAAGTTCAGTTCTGTTTATGAGGCTTGATTAATTTATTTTTATGTGGCTTTGGCGTGTAAAAGTGGGTCTGAAAACTGTCTAGTCTGACAGGATATGGCACCTACTTCTCTTATAGGTCCGTGCTACAATGTTTCATTTAAAAGTCATGATCAGACTTTGACTTTTCCTTAAGATCATCAAAATGAGTTGATAAAGTGCAGGTCTCATGTGTCTCCTCTCTTCATCACAGGGGACACCGGCCGATGTGCTGTATAAAGGAACCATAACCCGTCTGATCACAGAGGACAGCGTCAGCCGAGCTGAGAGGGAGCGAGATGAGGCACCTTCTAAAGGCCATGTGGTCTACGAGGGCGTCAGTGCGCACATTGTCACTTACGACCGTGAGTACATCGGCTTGGCTGCAGTATAATTTATGCCATGGCAAACAATTTTCATTTTGAGGAAGCGCTGGCAGAAGCTCAACAAATGGAACGGTCTCCATAAAAGTGGCAAGCAGTTTGCTTCGTCTTGATTCATACATGCAAATTATTAGGTCTCATTTAGTCCTATGACTAAACTAATACTAGAGGATAAATGTTGGGCTGGTTGGCCCAAATGATCCTGTAGTGTGAGGGCCTTACAGAGTCATGGTCTTCGACTGGATCAGATAATAAATGAAGAAAGTAGTTTCCTATTTATTATTGCTACATAAATGTTATCTTGCACATTTTATCTCACAAACTGTGTCAGTAAAAAGTTGTTTATTATATTACTTTTACAACAGAAAATAAAGCAATGATAATTCTGTTAATTTATTTAGTTTTTTCTCTTAAAAAATAACAAAAAGAGCTGAGAAGAATACTGTGAAAATACCGGATCGATAAACAGTATCGTTAAGAGTATTAATACCGTTTAAAATCTTAACAATACCCATCCCTAGTCTGAAGCCAAAGGAGTTTCTGTGAGATCCCAAGTCTCCAGATCCAACACTCTTTACTCTTTCCATCACGCTTTAGAGGTACTGTTTACTTAATTGTAGTAACATCTTTTTCATTTGTAGGAGCAGCTTCTCAGACCCCTAAAGATGAGGGCCGAGGCTCCGGGCAGCCTGGGGAAATTCTTGGCCTAAAGCGTCCTTATGATGTTATGGAGGGAGGCATTTCTAGAGGACTACCTATGAGGGATTCACTGTCTTCTGCCAACTGTGAAGGTAAGAGATGACCCCACTTAACCCTCTGTCACTCCTATAAAAGGCAACTGGATACAATTCTGTTTGACCCCTGGTGAATCACATTCAGCTCTCATTATTGATGAAATCATTTATCAGTCTCACTACTCCTCCCACTCTGCCTTAGGTCTGATTGGTCGAGCCATGCCTCATGATAGGGACAGTCCACACCACACACCTTACAAGGATTCACATCACATCCGTGGTTCCATCTCACAAGGTAGGATGACACCTCAATATAAAACACGAGTGATATGGTTTTATGATCTTTTTTTATAAGGTGTTTATTTTTAATCTGGATTTCGTTACCTTCTGCTGTGAGATTTGTCCCGCTGTGCTTTAGCATCTAAATCTAATGTCTACCTGCTAAATGCACATAAAAAGAAAAAAAATATATGTGCTATCTTTTTTAATGGCTAATCATATTTGAGGGGGTGAGGGAGGGTATGTGTGGTTATCAGCAAAGAAGATCAAAGTGTCTCAATAGGACTGAGAAAAGTCTTAGAGATGTTGCCACCGATTAAATCTTGCAACTTAATATATCTGCTTGCAACATAGTGCAGTTTAGTATCATCTGTGGTCTCTGTTTGCATTCTGTTTTTCCTGAAGGAACTTAGTCATTGTACTCTCATTTCATCAGACTGTGCTCACTCAGCAGAGCTCCAGTTAAAAATTGCTTTTTGCTTTTCTCCTTTCAAGAAACAGATTGTACCAGTTTACCAGAACTCACCCGCAGGCAGGAGTGCATTCATGTTGATTTATCTATCTGATAGCAGTAAAGTCAGATAACAATCTTGTTTCATCTTGCCCAGAGATAGTAGTGGAAGAAGCTGCTCTCAGAACCTCTGCTGGTTCAGCTGAGCTGATATAATCAGAACCTTTCTTCGTCTCCCCTGTTTGTTTCTCCGTTTCTAAATTCCCTTCCCTATATATTTATATAATATATAATTAGGGATGGGGTTCTAAAAGGACCCGGTTCCAAACTTTCTCACAACCCAAAAATCATTTACTCATTAAGGTCTGTGCTTATATATTCTGCTGTCGAGTCTAGCGGGTCCTATAATTTTATGTGTTGAGCGTAAAATCTGATTTAACTTGAAATGCGATGAATTAGAAAATGTTTTTAATGATTGCACTGAAACGCTGTATTAAACGAGCACAGGACTGTTTATCATCAGGCTGCAGCCTCTGCTGCTCTTTGTAGGCTCCTACATACATACATACACACACACATACATACATACACATACACACATACACACACACAGCGGCCAGCAGAGAGAGACGCCGCTCCGTCGCGGTTGAGACAGTGAAGTTAAGCTGCTCTGTCCTCAGTCTCTCCTCCTGTATGTTTTATACAAGCACAGCTCACGTTAACTTGGCATTAGCCAAATGTTACAAACAAGCTAAATTGAAAGCTGTCTGTCTGTAGCATAGACTGGTCTGTAGTCTTAAAATCTGGCACATTGTTAAAAACTCAGCTGCTGGCTGAGACAAACCAGCCGCTCCTTCTACCAGTTAACGTTATAGAGGAGGCAAAGGAGGGACCGATACAGACTGATGCCTGAGTTTATTCTTTCTAAGCGTCACTCAATATTGTGATCTCACATATTGACTTTATATAGTGACGTTGCTGCTCTAGAAACAACATTTAGTTGTATTTAAAATATTAAAGTCTAATTAATTTAAAAACAACCAGGCAGCTAATATGCATATGCACACTTTAATATTTGTTTATTTATCGCAAGTGATATGTCATCTCAATATATAACAATGTTATGACACATTGGATATTTTCCTCATACCGTGCCTACCTCATGCCTGGGTCTCGTCTTACCAAATAACCGTCACCAAATAATAGTAAAGTATCGATAGTGGTATCTATAAAGAATCGGCTCGTTAAGCAGCCTCAATAATGGTATCAATAAAAATTAATGATCCCCATCCCTATACATAAAATATTTTGTTTTAATAAACCGCCCACTCTGTTTGAAGAAAAATAAGATTGACATATTTTTATGATTTCAGGTATACCTCGTCATCTGGACCCTCAGGATGGCTACCTGCGGAGGGAGGCTAAGCAGATGAAGAGAGAGGGCTCACCTCCCCGTGGGCCCAGTTCTGACCCAATGAAGGGCAGAGAGGGCATGGTGCCCACAGTGAAGGAGGCTGGGCGCTCCATCCACCTCATTCCCAGGGAGGAGCTTAGACAGCCTACCAAGGAGGGAATCATAGCACAGGTATATACGCACATAAGATGTTTTCCAGCCCTTAATGTTTGGCCCTTTCTACACTTAGCTATATTTATTCCTGTTATGCTTCTCTTCAGGGAACACCCATGAAGCAGGAGGCAGCTGGTTCAGGGAAACGTCATGATGTCCGCTCCATCATAGCCAGTTCACCACGTTCCTACCACAATGCACCCTCCCACTTGGAGATGCGTGCCGAGAGGGGCCGCTATGAAGAAGCACCAAAAGGACGGCCCAGCGCTGTGGTCAGTACGGCTAGCTCTATAGCCCGCTCTTCTCCTCTTACGCTGGGATCGGACCAGGGAGGCAAGGCCCATCATAGTCCAGTGGGCTACGATGACAAAGGCGGCTTAAGGAACGCCTACCCTGGGCCCTCGCATCGTGGCTCCCCTCTGTCCAGGGAGGCAAGCCAAAGGCAGCATGATGGTGGGTACATCTCACTCAGTCAAGACAGTTGCTTTTGTTTTATTCTTGCTATAGGCACACCAGTTGAATTTTTTTTAACTGAAATACTTCAACCTTCACACCACAAAGACAATAAATGAAATACTTTTGTTTCCCTGTTTGTACTCCAGGTTCCAGTAAGAATCCGCCCCAGGAGCGTAAAGCCACACCAACTCCCAGGGAAATGAATGCTACCAAATCGCCGCTCCCGGGTGTTGCAGATCAACAGACTTATGAGCGTCTGCTGGGTCTCGGAGCTGCAGACGTGTACCGTCAAATCCCGTTAGCCTTCGATCCTGCAGCGCTGCCCCGTGGCATCCCCATTGACCCAGGTACAGGCAGAGTCAGATTAGATAGAAAAAAAATATTGGAACATGTTAGCCTCATCCTCTGAAACTCTTCTTTTTGTAAGCGTGATGTTGTTTAAGGCCATGTACACACTCTGTGTTATTTTGACCTGATCAGACCTCTGCTTAAATGAGGTTAAGTACAGCTTTGCCAGAAGCTACAGGAGGTTGCCAAAATCTATGTTTTAATAATCACCATAAAGGCCTACTGCACTTTTGCCATAGAACATTATATTGTCATCCGGAAACGAACTGCACTGACAAATCAAAAACATAAATGCGAACATACCAGGTGGTGTCCTGTCAGGCTGGTGAAACAAAACTGTAGAGGGAGTGAGATCAGCAGTCTCTACTTGCCCACACAGTCAAGAAAAATAATGCCACAATATAATTGTTATTTAGTCCAATATGAATGAGAGACATTTCCTGACATTTTTCTACTCTTCATACACAGCGACCTACTACTTGCAACGCCACCTAGCCCCCAACCCAGCGTACCCTCATCCCTACCCCTACCTCATCCGTGGCTTTCCTGACACTGCGGCCCTGGAGAACCGCCAGACACTGCTCAATGACTACATCACTTCCCAGCAGATGCACCAATGGCCTGCAGCTGCTGCCATGGCTGCCCAGCGGTCAGACCTGCTGAGGGGACTTACTCCAAGAGACCAGCCCCTTCCTCTGCCCTACTCTGCAGCCCCACGTGGTAAGGCTAACTAACTTCACAACACTCACATTCACCCATATTCATCTTAAGTTGTGTTCACTTCACATTGGCCTTTCAAGATGTTTGGCAAACAGTAAATCAATTTAAAGAGAACAATTGTAAACTCTGCCAGCAAAGACATAAAGAGTGCTATACCTACAGATGGAGCTTGCTGAGAGCTCTTACTATTACTAAACAGCAGGGTTCATGTTGCCTGGGTTTCATTCAATAATAGAATCATCTGTAAGCTGAGATATGAAGAAGCGCAGTGACCTACTTAAAGATATAATATGTAACTATGTTTTATATTTTGTTTAGTTGTGTACTTAGATCATCCGAAATGTTTCAAGCAGTTTTCAAACCAAGAGAAATCTGTAATTGTGGTTATCTGCCTGAATTTGTCATATATGGACTCTTTGGACCAGCTTTTAGGTCTGGGGTGTTTTTTACTACATATTTTAACCAGATGAAGGATTTTGTTCATCTGATCTTGCGTCAGCAAGTGCTCACAATGTCCTGTGTGCACTGAACAGCGTTGAAGAAACCCAGATTTTTAACGCGAGTGTTTCTAATCACCAGATCAGTTTGTTTTAGAGAGGACCTGTGCATAATTTGGCTCCTTGGAAAAATCTCCCAAACATCTACTTATCAGAGAAACAAGTAAAGCAAACGTTAGCAACAAGATCTGCTCGCTGCCCCTCTGGGACACCCTTTGTCTACATAGCAGCAATGCAGAAACAGATTTTTAAAGGTGAAACTGCTTTGTTCAGCGTATTTACTGGTTTTCTTCCACTGGTCTTTTGTCTTTTGTTTTGGAAAGAAGAAGAGGAGACTTATGCGCTTTAGATATATTGAAGTTACATTTTTCTTTAGCCATTGTTGTCGTCTCTTGGGATTTTTGTTACTTGGATCTAACTTTGACGTGAAGCTGCATGTTGCATGCCCTGCTTTGGGGGTATTTGTCTGACGCACACAAGCTGTGGGCTGCCGGTTAAAGGAAACATTATGAATAATTGTCACTGTCTGGAGTATTTGTCATCTTCATTTATATTAGAAAAACATCAAATAAATCTAACTTGCCACAGCATTTATCATCCATTTGTTCTAATAAATAGGTAATTAAAAAAATTTAAATGCATTCAAATTGTTGAAAAGTTGTTGTCAGGTAGAGTCAATGAAGGAGCAGTGAGTGAGTTTGGCTTTCAATGTAATGAAGTAGCAATTACAATTGTCAACAAACCAGAAATGCAAGTATTCACAGGTTCACATCTTGCATCATTCATTAGTAGCTTTGTCTTGACACACTCACTAAAGCAGAAACTAATTACATATTCTCTCATTTTAGTGCTAAATAATTATCTCCTACTTTTTTTCAATGTGTCTTTGTTGGTTTAACGTTTTCCACATTTGAACCAGACGGTAAAGATTTGCCTATTAGGTTTTGCTATTGTAGTATGAGAACGCAGTGTTGAGCTTTATTTACCTGTAAACCTCCAAACCAAAACACATCTGGACCAGCTATTAGGGTTTTCTTTACCTTTCTCTTCTTTCTGTCCCTTAGGGATCATCGATCTTTCTCAGGTGCCACACTTACCTGTCCTGGTCCCTCCCTCTGCAGGGGCAGCCGGCTCCCCAATGGATCGCATCACTTACATCCCCGGGGGAAGCAGCACCTTCCCTGGCAGGCCTTACACCACCTCCCCCATCTCACCTGGTACAATTCACTTCACAAAAGCAAACGCACCTACATATTACATGTATTATGTTGCACTCTGTTAATCATTTTTATTGCGCTTTGCCTTTTTCTGTACAGTTGGGTCCTCGCACATGAACAAGATGCAAGGCACACCGTCATCTTCGGAGCGCGAGCGTGAAAGAGACCGTGAACGTGACAGAGAGAGGGACCGGGAGAGAGACAGAGAGCGGGAGAGAGAGAGGGAGCGTGAACGGGACCGCGAGAGAGACCGTGAGAGAGAACGGGAACGAGACCGTGAAAGGGATAGAGACCGGGAGAGAGACAGAGACAGAGAGCGTGACCGAGAGAAGGGCGGGTCTGTTGGAAATGTTGAGCACGCCCCCATCTGGCGACCAGGTATGCAGCAGATGGTGTTTTTCATTTTTATTTAGAGGTTCAATACTGGCAGCACAAATATGGTTTGAGGAAGGGGTAACTGAACCAATGAATCTGTTTGTGCCTCTCAGGTACAGAGCACAGCTTGGCAAGCAGTAGCAGCAGCAGTGGTGTGAGACCTTCATCCCAACCGTATAGCCACCAGCACTCCCCGGTGTCCCCTCGCACTCAGGAGAACGTGCAGCAGAGGCCAAGTGTCCTGCACAACACTGGGGGCAAGAGTCTTTCTGTCAGCGAGCACCCCAACTCATCTGTGTTTCGGTAAATTTAAGTTCTGTTTTTACAAGAACAACACTGGGACACTTTCCAGAGCTAATTTCTCATAAGTGTCCGCAGCAAGGAGAACATTTTGATTGTCTTGTTTTCTAAGCGTGTTTTGTTTGGTCCGCCAGGTCCATGTCTTCAGGCCCGGCCCGCTACCAAGGTTACCCAGGCCACCTCCAAAGGACAGGTGTGCCCCCTGAGGCCTACACACATACCATGGACCCAAGTTTAGCCAAAGAGCAGAGTCGTGATGGAGGCAAAAACAGGGGAGGTCTGCCCAAGCACGTGCAGGACCAGCACGGGCCCTCCAGCAAATCTGACCCCAAGCTGTCAAGCCCAGGAGGAATGTACCCAGGTTCCTATTCCTCACCTTCAGGCCGGCCGCAACACCTACTGCCTCCCCAGTCGGATAACCCTCCTGGCCGTGGAGAAAGCGGTACACCTAGTAGGGAAAAGACTCAAAACAAACAGATGTCCATTCAGGAACAAGAGCTCCGAGCACTCGGTAAGACCACCATGACTGCGGCCAACTTCATAAACGCGATTATTATGCGTCAAATTTCTTGTGAAACGGGGATGCAAGAGACGGGCTCGCTTGTTGCCAGCAGCGCCACTGATGGTAAGATGCTCTGGATCCCAGGGTCCCCCTCATCACCCAGACCCTCCCCCGTCAGTCTGTGGCCTATTGCACGCTGTGGTGAACTGGCATTATCAAATCAGACCAATTCATTTTACTTTTTTTTTCTTTTTCTTCAATGCTATCCTTTTTATAGTTTTTTCTTTACAAACTTAAAGACCACCAAGGGTGCCCTCTGGAAAACCAAACCTCTAGCCCTGCCAAATTGGACGTCACTGGCTGAGATTAAATAAAGAATTTACAAATGATGAAGCACTGATAAAATATGAATACCAACAACCCCATACATTTAATTTTCCATGAAGAAGAGCCTAGGTGTCCTTTAAGGTGTCATTCTCAAGTAGCTAAAGCTGGTGGGACATCCTTTGCTGCTTATTTTCATTTTCTTTTTGTAGAGGATGTGACTTGAATTTATCACGTGGCACCCCTCCTCCCTCCCATTAGGCTGCTTTTTTTCAACAGAATATTTCACCACATGCATTTCACCGCAGGTTGCTTTTTATATCCCATGTTAAATGAGAGTGTCTGTAACTCAAACACTTCTTCACTACTGCATGTCTTATGAGGCACCCTTTGCTGTAGATACCTATTTGAAACACATTGTGTTCTTTGGACAATAGCCACATGTAACCCAGACCAATTAAGGGGAATAGATAATAGGTGTGACAGTCAAACGTCAATCAAAGCCTAACGAACCGCCAAACTGACTCCCTGGGGTCCCAGAGAGCACCAGTGTTGCACAGGAGGAGCGTGGGGAGGAGGGGGGACGTGGAAAAGACCATCCGGGGGGGGCCTCGGTTTTGTTTATTGTTTTCCACACATGCCAAATTTCAGCACATCTTTTCAATCTCTCAATCAAGCCTCTGGGGGTTGTCCGTCTTTTGGAACAGGATTTTGTTTTGCTATATTACAAGCCTATAGCGCAAGTGACCTCTGCATGCTGAGTTCAGATGAGTGTTGAAGCAAACACTGTATGTACAGAAGTCAAAAGGAAGCATGTTTTTCATAGTAGACAAGACTGCTAGGAAGGCTTATTAATGGAACATTGACACCTTGCTGTTAGCATGCATTTACAAACCCCAGAGATTTGCAAGCTATTGTAAGCTGTTGTTGAACTCAGTGTTTTTGCTGATGTTGCTAGCTAACAACAAAAACCACAGCATCCTGTCCCTCTGGGGGACTCTTCCTCTCTGGGAGTCCATACAGTCAGTCCCCCCCCCCCCCCCCTCACCCATGCTCAATTTACATCATCCTCCCTGAGATTAACACTGTAGTGTTGAAATGGGCTCTTAGGCTCCTATAATGATTCAACAGTAATATGGCTAACTGTGATGTGGTTTTATTTGAATCAAGTTTTGTAATTCTTTTATCACATCAATACGGAAATGGTCTTGAATACATCGGTTATAAAGTGAAGTTCTGTCACTTCTTCATTTATGACTCACTGATGCAAAACCAGTCAATTTTAGCATCATTTCTTGTCAACGCTTGGCTTGCTAGGTCTGTATGCAAAATGTACATTATAAGTTAATAAAAGATCTGACGTAGCTTGCCTCTCACACAGTATATTTGTAGGGAAGCTTGCCCTATATGCTTTAATGTGTAGATGCTACATGAAAGCTGATGGACGGACAGACATTTCTGAGTAATGTCTGTCTGTTCTTTGGATTTGACCCTCAGCTCAACAGAAGATGGAGCCACATGGTTTGTACCGTCCTCCGTCTGTGGAGAGACAGTCTCCAGGGCAACAGCCGCCGTCCCCCTGTGTTAAAGGCAGCCAGAGGGTGGTCACCCTGGCACAGCACATCAGCGTACGTTCGCTCAACCACTGCACTACAAATGGCCTAAAAACAACACAATAACATATCAAAAATAATCTTTAATGTATTTCTGAGGTGGATATGTCTTTACATAAACAGGAAGTGATAACTAAAGACTACACCAGGCAGAGCCAGCAGCAGCAGCAGCAGCAGCAGCAGCAACAACAGCAACAACAACAGCAAAGCTACCATGGCGATCCTGTTCTGGACTTGACCCGTCCACCCAGTGCCTCCCAGCCCCCATCGACCTCACAGGAGTCTGCCCAGGGGCCCCGGTATCAGGAGAGCCTAGGTGGAGAACGCAACAGAGACCGGTAGGAATCCCTGTTAAATGTACTGTGTGGGCACTTTCTACTGTATAACCCTTCACCCATTGTTACTGGTGTTTACAATTTAAAATGGATTTGCATTGATTAAATGCATCGGTCTTCTCTGCAGGTCTCCTCCTCAGCCCAAGACGTCACCTGTCAGTGTTTCAAATGATGGCATTGAACCAGTGTCCCCTGCTGGAGCAATCTCTGAACCTGACGTCCAGGGAGGGGCCTCCTACCCCAACGAGCAGGGAGAGCAGGGGTAACGGCTCTCATTACTGTAGCTCTCAGCGGAAACAACTTGCTGCAGATATGTTTTATTGCTCATATTAAATCAAGTGGGTGCAGTCACATGAAAGACAAGTCAAGCTTGTCATACATAATCAAGCTATGTTGTTCAGTTTATGATGGATTAGCAGGGCTGCAAGTAAAGATCTTTTAAAAGCCTAATGTTACATTATGTAAGGCATGCAAACATCTATGTCAACAACAAGCAGGCTATTATATACAGACATACATTACGGCTCCACCTTTTTGATGAGATTCTTCCCCTGACTGGCTTTCAGAGAGGGGTGGTGGTCCCCCTTCTAATGGTTTATTTATTTTTTTTAAATGTGCACTAGCGGGTCTCAGTTTTTGGGTATTGCTCTGCTAAGCCTCCCTTGAAAGCTCATGCCAGGAAGCTGTAAAGAAGACTTGTCTTCAGTTGTCAAATTCAGGAGGATTAGAACAGTTGCAGTTCAGGTTGTGAAACACTGGACCTGCTTTTTACTAGTTGAGTTATCAGAAGTTTGCCCATCCAGTTTACAGTGTTCAGAAGAACCCTGTCCTGGGAATTGTCCCATTGGGTTTACTGTAGGTGTCCAGGCCATTGTGTTGAGCCACCCAAAGAGAGTGAGAGAGCTGTGTCCGCATTCTCGACTGGAGTCACTTGCTGTCCTAATTTTAGAAATTGTTCAGGATCGAGGAGTCTCGGTTTATCAGCCAATTGATGCTCCAGCCCTCACCTATGGTCATAAGTCATGGATGGACACTTAAATTGCAAATCTATGTGGTTACAGTGGATGATTTGTGATCAGCAGGAGCGTCTGGTCACGGCATCTGATGCCGCCTTGTTGAAGGATACCTGAAAAAGTTTGCATCAGACGCCCAGCCTGCTGCCATCACAACCCACCGCAGAAAATATGTGGTCTATAATTTGAATGTGACATTTGTTTGAAGTAGGGATGAAACGACTACTGGTTTAACGGTAAACCATGGTAAAATTCCCGACGGTTATTATTACCATACACATTTTAATTACCATGATAACCGGGTACGGTTAACCGCGCTGTTATAATCTCCCAGAAGCAGGCGGGCATGCGCAGAATGCAACATCGGTTTGTTTGGGTCAATGACAACACGGCAGAAGGCAGAGTATTTAATTTTAGCAGAAATGTTGATAGTTTCCTGCTGCTTATTACCGAATGTATGTATACAAAAGCAGTGCAGACTTTGTTTTCAGATATTTACATATGAACATTTTGCATCTAAACATCCAAACTACACTATGTTTATTCTGGGAATATCACTGGCATTGGTGTGTGTGTGTGTGTGTGTGTGTGTGTGTGTGTTAACCTGCTCCTCCTTTCCCTCCTGCAGAATGGGCTCCCGTTCCCCTCCCAATGCCTCCCAGCCTCCAGCTTTCTTCAGCAAGTTAACTGAGAACACCTCAGCTATTGTGAAGTCAAAGAAGCAGGAAATGATCAAGAAGATGACTGTGGTGGGAAATGAGGGTGATTTCAGTAAGTCTGACCTCAGCACAGACATGAGTACACGATTAAAAATTTTTTTCAGAAGAAAACACTACATGTGATTCAATAAAAAAGACTTTTAAAAAGAAACCCTGTTCCCACTTACAGATGCAGGTCAGCCAGGAACCGAGATCTTTAATATGCCAGCTTCTACAACTGCAGGTAATCTTCTGTTTGTTGGACCAAATGTTTTTAGAAAAGCATGACAGTTGTTGGGTCAACATATTCATACATACTGTGGGAATGGAGCGGCATTGTGTAGGAAGGATTGTAAATCCTGCATCATTCTGCTAACAAAAATACTTTTGGAACGTTTTCGTGTTGGTGAAACTGCTGTACGGTACAGCAGAATGACTAAATGTGAGTAAACACTTAATGGTTGCCATTCACAACGGAGCTTGCCAGAGTGTCAGGATGTAAATAAACTAGAAATAAATCAGTCACATGACAATAATTTAGCAAAATCATGTTGACCAACTGCATGCAACAATGTTTTGAGTGACAGCAAATAGCAGTGTGAAGAAAAATGTAATCGGCTTTGGTTCAGCTTTGTTTTGTTGGCACCTGTCATTTTACCTACGTGAGCAGCAACATGAAATTTAAGAATACTGCTGTCAAAAGCCCCAGCATAATGACCTGGACTTGAAATGATGAATTGTTTAGTTGTAGAGCATTATTTACTTACAACGAACAGTGCTTTATACCGTGAAAGTACTTTTTACACAGGTAATCAGCAAAATTGTTGTTTTGAAATGCCCATTTTCTTTCCACTCTTTTGGTCTCTGTTTTGTCTCTTCATTGCTTACTTTTCTTTTGATGCTATTTAATGCTTTGCTTCTGTGACTGTCATTACTCTTAGTGCTCTCTGTACTTGCCGTCCCTATCTCTCTCTAACTTGAACACTCTCTCCTTTCCCAGGACCTGTGAGTGTCCGCTGCCACCCAGCTGCAGAGACACCTGGTAACTCAATAGGCCTGGAGGCCATTATAAGAAAGGCTCTGATGGGCAAATATGATGATCAGTCTGAAGAACGCTCTCCATCCAACGCTGCTAACCCGATGGGTTCCAGTGTGCCTGTAGCCGACGGACGTGCTGAGGACTTTTTCTCACAAGGTGCGACACTTTGGAGTTTTCTATTTGTTTCAACCCAATATAGTCTTACATGTCCTCCTGTCAGCTGAGCCCAGCAGCCTGACACATGAGAGTCTTACTAACATGTCCTATATTTTCTCCAGTGTACAGACAGAAAAACTGAGATCAGTTGTATTTCAACTCTAGGGATGCAACCATTACAGATTGTTGGTACGATTATTAATAACAATAATAATCACGGTGTCACGATTATTATGCATTAATTAATTTCACAACACAAGTAATTACTTAAATTGATTTGTAATATTTAATTACATTAACAGTTATATTTCTGTAATATTATTATAAGTATTATTGATATAAGAGGAATATTAACTTCATTTATCCCCCAGGGGAAATTGTTATTAAGGAAGGTTATAAACTGAACTGTTATTGTCATGTACTCTCATCCATACGTATAAGTTTTAGTGAAAATGAGAACATCTCTCATGCAGTGTTATTAATAACTGACAACAAGTTACAATAACAAGCTCCTGATGTTATGTTAGTGTTTTACACCTGGCACCATTTTCTCCACACAGACAGGAGAAGGCAACAGGATGTAACGTTAAATGTAAAGTGACTGAAGGTCTTGAGAGGTCTACCTTCTTCCATAAAGGCCCTTTCAGAAAAGAAGCAATTTGCAATGCGTGGAAGCTGCTCGGCGCAAAAGTTCAACACCGCGCAGCGTGCTCGTTGCTCGACGCAGCAACAAACCGCCCTGGCGTGGCACAAGGCATTAAAAATAATGGGCCTCATAGCGTAGCGGTGCTGTTGTTTCTGTGGGTCGGAAAGGTTACGCCTGCTTTGTTTGTTAACGTTGCGCTGAAAGCTCGACTCTCACCGCTACAGCATCGATTGTAAGTGACACATTTATATTTAATTCCCACACGTTATTATGTATTACTTTTACTTGGGCGTGCAAAGCTGGGTGGAGATCCCGCAGGTGCTGCATCAAGTTTAATGTAGTATTTGCTCCTTTAGCAGCTTTTAACAGGTGATCCGTCACCTCTTAAATAACGCCCTGGTCAGTCTCGGTGTACCCGAAATGCTCCCACACTGCTGACTTCAGCTAGTTGCAGCAGTTCCTTTCTCTGCAACAGAAACACTCTGTGTAGCGGAGCCTTGACGATTAATTAACCGTGACGTTTTAAAGCGTGGTTAATGGTGAAATCCGGTAATCACTGCATCCCTGTTCACCTCAATTTAGTTTTAGCATCAACCTGGATTAACATCACCTTAAGTTGAATCAGGGACTCTGTTTGAGATACACGTCCTAGTGCAGTCCTTCAAAGCATAAACGATGCCTTTATCTCAATCAGATCTGCCTGATTAGAGTTTAAAGCACTTTATCCACTTAAATCCACTACATTCAGTGGGATTTTATTATTGGCTCGTATGCTTGTATTTAATCATTTTCTTCCCCTCTTAAAAATGACTAGTTAATTATTAAGTTAAGGCTTCTGTAACACTATTGTCAAATAATAATTTATTGTAATAGTTCAAGAAAGATACTGAAGTATTGAATTGTCCAGTTCTGTATTTTTCATTTTCATTACTCGCATAATATATAAACACTACTAAACTCTTCAACCAAAACTGATGCAGTTCATTTAGTTCTTTAGTTATACTGTATGTGACAACAGGCAGGGTAGAAACGGCACCTCTAAACAGAGCTGGAAGTTTTTGCAAAGGATTGTGTTACACAGATTTAAGCTCTGCCGCCTCTGTTTGCAGGTGGGGGAAAGTCCTCAAAGGGCGGCGGGCGCTCTAATGGGAGGAAGGCCAAGTCTCCAGGACCAGGACTGTCAGGGGGGGAGAGACCATCCTCTGTGTCCTCAGTCCACTCTGAGGGAGACTGCAACAGAAGAACTCCTCTTACCAACCGTGTCTGGGAGGATCGGCCTTCATCCACAGGTATAAAGCCCTTTTTTGAGACCCTGACTGATTTACTTTCTATTGTTGTGGTTCATAACAATTCTGACTTCCCGCTTTTTGCAGGTTCAACTCCAACTCCCTTCCCGTGTAACCCGTTGATAATGCGTTTCCCCAGCGGAACGGTGTCTGCTCCCTCCCCCTCTTCTGGCCAGCCGGGGGGCCAGGGCCAGGGGTTAGGACCTGGACAGGGCCGGTCCTGGGAAGAGGAGCCCAAGCCTCTTCTCATGTCTCAATACGAGACCCTGTCTGACAGCGAGTGACCTGAAATACTGTCGTCAACCAACTCTGTGCTGCTGCAGCCACACACACACACACACACACACACACACCTGCTGAGGCATCTGCAAACCTACCCGCACCATTCCACTCTGCATTTCCTCCTTCAGTCGTCAAGAAAGGATCATTTCCTCCTTTCACACACCCGAGACGCCAAGCAGCGACGAGCTGGAACGCTGCTGCTCCACGTGTGCGTGTGTGTATGTTTGCACTTACGTGTTAGGCATTCACTCCAGGACTACTCTAAAGGACGAATCACTTATTTCTTTCCTTTTTTTTTTTTTTACTTTACTACTTTTCCTCACTGGCCTTATAAATATAGACGCATCGATCTGCACCTTTCGGGTGTACCGCTCTAATGTGCCGACACTTGTATGGAAGGGACTCTGAGGTTGTGTTGTTGGTCTGGTCAGGAGCCTGATACTCTAGTGACACATTATGACCTCGGATCTGACCTGAGAGCAGCGGCCCACACAGCGAGGACCTCCGCGTTTCTTCACGGTGACCTCCAGGTGCAGGCGGCCTGTGCACTGCTACCACCACGAGGATATGTGCGAGGGGACGGGAGGAGAATCAACATCATGTTGTTCTTGTTTTGGTTCTATTTTTTGCTCCTTTAAATTCAGTCAGTCCAGTCCTGTGTTTTGAACGTGAGCTGAGACCTTTAGTACATTTTGATGGTGAACTTTTGATGGTGTCATTTGTCGTCTATTATCTGCAATGATGTATCTTTTTTGGGGGGCGGGGAGGGCGGGAGGGGGCAGACATTGTTATGCGGGAGGGTCATATCATTGGTTTACAGGGTAAACATGCTGTTCATTGCTGATGTCATATATTTGGGTGAAGGGCGGGGGGGTGGGGGTCCTGAGGAATGGCGAAGACCTGTTGATTTCAGGCATCCACATGGGGAGAGATGATTTGCCAGATGGATGGCATAAAACAAGTGACACTTTCTCACTGTTTTTATATTAACCATGTCTGTGTTTGTTGAAAACAGTTTTTGGATATTAAGCACTTAGTCGTCAATCTGTTCACAATGGCATTTTTAAGAATCTGTGTTTCCTGGGGCAGGGGAAAAATGGACTCAAGAACAGCATAGAAATCCCAGTGTGGAGGTATCCTTTAGCGCCTGTCTGTTTATTTTGGTCTTGCCAACGATATTCTTTATCTCTCCCACCCTCAAAGCGACAATCACATTTTAGTGAACGATGACTAAGCCGCTTCGAGCAGGTGCAGACCAACCTTAGAGCTGCTTAAAGGCAGACTCCTCAGCATCAGGTGGAGTTTGCTCACATTGAAGAGACTAAAAAAAAAAAAAAAAGCCATCTTTCTATGACCCTTGGTCCATGGCGGTGTCGGCTTCAGCTGGCCTGCTACAATCCCTTCTAGGAGCTGTTGTGACGGTCTGACCTCTGACCTATTACTGCCTAGAGGAGCAGCTGAGACCCAACTCCTCATCCAGGCAGGTTTTGTACAGTTATGAGATATTCCTAGTGTTAAGTGCCATTTATTTTACATATACAGTACTGAAGTTACCAAGTGACGCACAATTTTTCTTTTAGCCCCCCATGACAGGGTTTATACTGTCCACGCAGGGAAATCGGAAAACAAAAAAGCTAATGAAATATCCTCCTTTTTTTTTTTTTAATAAAACAAAACAGCTTTACTCGTACGAGTTATCTTCATAACAAGACAACGCTGTATCACAGCACAGCTTGCATGGGCCAGCATCAAATGTTTTCTCTGCTGCGAGACCCATGACATTCTTCAAGTGTACTTCATTACACGCCCTGTGTTTGTACTGGGTAGAAAAAGCTGAGAGGAAGGCATTCGAAAGCAATCTCACATGTTCTCACATTTTACTGCAGTATTTTAAAGGTCACCCTCTCTGTAAGTGATGTTTCCACCTCGTGATTCTGTGCAACCGGGGACGAATTCTGTCCCAGACTGAAAACTCTGAAGCGATGGCAGGGAGCTTGTTTAGTGGTTCGGAAAGACTTACCTCTCTATCTCTAGTTCATTTTGTCACAGTGGATTCTCACAACACAAACATGACTGTTCCAGGACTACCTCCTCTCCCTCCTTCATCCCACCTGTCAATGGCGAAGCACCTAGCAGGTCACACCTGCAGAAAGCTCAGCCATGTTTTAGGACTGCTTCTTCTTTTTTATTCTGATGGAGGGTTTGTAATTTCATCAGGCAAGGCAAAAATACAGCCAGGCTTTGTACATTGGTGTCTGTGCGTGTATATCATTTATCCACTGATGAAATTTAAGAATGTGACAGTAAACAGACTAAGCCATATCCAGCTGTTCCCTAACCCGATGACGGGCTAATACGTTGTTTTTAGAAAGTATACTGAAATTAATTTTAACATGCATCCATTTGTTTTTGTTCTTTCAGTTTGTTTTGATTCCACACAATGCACAAATCAAAAAATAATACTTAAAAATGTTAAAAGTTGATTACTGATTGTGTTCCCTGGACTGTCAAAGTGTGGGTGGGTGGGGGGAATTGACATAAACAGTACATTGTTCAACCATTTTGTGCATAATGATTTTTTTTTTTTATTATAACCCACTGTATAATAGCAAGGATTGTATATAAAACTGAAGAGATGTAAATATTTATGTGGCTTGCTTCAAGGTTGGTATTACAAGAAAAGAAAAAAAAAAAAAAAAAAAGAAATATTCACATGGTTAAATTCTACATGCCCACCAGCAAGCTTTGTGGATAGCAGTGTAAAAATGAAAAACAAAAAAGACACTGCCTTAATGTTTAAATAAAAAGCTTATTGCCATTCATGGTCTCGGGGTCGTGTTATTTATTGCTGTGTGTTTGTATTGGACGTCTGCCTCACACTTTCTTTTATCTGTTTTGAATTGCAGGGAAAATTGACAGGCCCAAAGTCAGGGAGGTCAAGTACCACCAGGGGGCGGTATAAGCATATTTCTTTACTTGTATGTTGAACTTATTTGGCACAGAATTCTTCAACTTGTTACTTAATTGCTGCATGTAATAATTATGCATAAATTACACAAAATAAGATGATAAAATACAGTCCTGAGCCGTGTTAACGCAGCAGTTACTCCGCTCATGATGAAGTTCTTGGTAGTAGTTTTACAAATGTGCTGTTCAGCTGCCGCTTGAGCTGTTACTGATCTGGTCTCCTGTGATCTAGTTTACTACGCTCAGCTCATATGAAGGTCAAACTGCATGTCTGTTATGATCCCGTCCTTGCATAACTCCCAGGAGCTCAACAAGTTAAGATGAAGTTAATGAGTGTATGACTGTAATTAGTCTTCCCTTCTCAGTTTACAGCATATAACAGTCCTTATATGCACATAATATACTACTTCCAACCCATGGAAGTATTTTATTTTGCTGCCTTCAAAAGTGTTTTTGTTTGCTGTCTTTGAACGGGACACATAATGCTGAAAAGGTTTCTCCTGATTAAATCTAAACTGAACTTGTGACTCAGGTATTTCAGTTGTGTAGCATTATTTAATTTTTTAAAGTTTCTGTGCTGCTCTCTGTGAAAAATCTAGAAGTTTACATCCCGTAATTTACTGCTGAGAGTTAAAATCCAGTCCTGTGTTTTCATTTGCATTCCCTTGCACTGATTTTCACACCTAACACAGGTCTTGGATTTGATTACAGGAACTGAGCCAAAATGTGCTACCAGTCCTCCTTGTGCCCGCAGAACTCCCTCTTTCTTTCAGAGGGACAAAATTCAAACCTGTGCTAAACAGGCGTATACGATATCCTGTGACCAACATTAAGCAACAGATGCACTGTAGTTCCGGGAATTGGCTCTTTTTTTTTTTTTTATTCAATTGGGATATACATCTTTTTAAATTATTTTTCTTTGATCACAACAGGAACAACGATTGACGTACAAAAATATAAAGAGAATTATGAAGTGCCTCGATGCCACATATACAACAGGAAAATATTTTACAGTAACAAAATCAAGTGTTAGGAAACGTAAAAAGTATTTCACATAAAACCACCAACATATTAAACTTGACACCCACCATCATTCTCTGACATTTCACAGACCATCAACACATCGCAAAACTCTCTATCATCTTGCTATTTTCAGAACAATTTCCTCATATATATGTTTTTCTTGTGAAAGAGCAGATCTGATTTTCCTCCCCTTGTTTTGCTCTTTTTATTGCTACTTACTGTTCCCTCATTAAAACCCAGTACCCATCTTACAGTACTGATGCACCACTTCAGCTTTGAGCCCTCCGCGTCTCTCCCACCCTTACACTTAACCTGGATGGTGTTTCAGACTATAAAAATAACAAGACCGCAAGCTCAAGACCACAACTAAAATTCAGGAATACACATTTCCAATGAAGTAAAACTGATACCTAAGAAAATTTGAGGTCAAGTCTTACGTTTCAATATTTGCCATGTTCAATAATATATATATATATATATATTTGACAGACACAAAAAGAAGTCATGAAAATGTTCAATAAAAATCTATTTTACATCTTCAACATGGAAATCTGATGTGGTTTCACTGCTCCACATGTCGGTAATTACAGAGGAGTTTCATGCTGTTGAGCTACTTGAGCTCAGAAACTGACCAATATGACAATTTGTTGATCTCAAAACAACATGCATCAGCTATTCGTAAGTCCAAGCCCTTATATATATATATATATATATAAACAAAGATTTTCCTTAACATTTGTTATGTGTAGTTATGAGACCTCACCAAGATAACATGACATAATGCTGTTTAAAAATAAACTTTTTTATTGTTATAAATAGTGCTTTGCATATAATTACCGCTGATTGCTGTGTTTTCGTGGTGGATTTGTGGCGTTCCAAATACACGTGTTGCCAACAGGAGAGTTACAACGGCTACACTAATCTCCGTCATTTATCAGCTATTATAAACACTGGTACCAATTAGCTCATATCGACCGATAATACTGACAGGTGACAGGTGTAACTGTTACGTAGCTGACTGAACCAACTGACATAGCTAACGTTAACTTTCTAATATATGACCCGTGTCGAGTGAAGTAATATGTAACATGGTTGAAACATCTAACCTGACACACTGGAAGATTTTTAATGTTTAATTTTAAATGTCACTAAAGTAACAACATGCTTCAAATTGCCAAACATTATGCTAATGATGTCAGACACATATTTTTCTGTGGATAAGTTTTATCTACATTTACACAATATTAGGCTAGTAGGACAGTTTAGTTTATAATTTGCCACCTTCATGTGTTCATGATTGATTTTTTAAATTTATTTTTTATTAGTTTCATATGTTTCAAATGATTTACAAATTAAGTCTTTACTATTTAAGACAGTCCTTAAGTTTTAATAATGCAACATGATTTAGTCAAATCAACAGTATGAAACTAACGACCAGTTACTTCATGCACAAACTTAGAGATGGATTTATGAATAGCTGGTGCCACCCAATCCAGAACTGTGTCGGCCTTATTTTGTCGACTGCTTGTAGCACTAAACCATTCAGACAGTTGCAGCTGGAAATAACTCTTGTTTTAGTGTTTATTTTTGACTCTCTTGGAGAAGTAGACGAGCAGATGTGCCACTGCGTGAATAGTTGCAGTTTGTTCAGTACCAAGAGTTGTGACAGACAAGTGTTACAAGTTGTATATACTTCCTCCTGACTGTGAAATTTCCTGTGTCCGAAGAAGGTTTAAAACAAACTATTTTATGCTGATTGAAAATAAAAGCAAACCATAAAATGATTGCCACCATTTTTAAAAGCCCTGAAAGCATGTACATTACATATCCTCAATCATTTAACTATCTATCAGCAACTCTACATGATGTGGTCCTACGCACAGTCCTGATGATGCAGATTAACTGAGTTACTAAGTGTTAAACTCTTAATAAATAATAACTGGATGTTTTTTCCCCCCAAAACTTCATTGATTGTCCACCTCCTAGAGACCAGGAACCTGTTTAACAAAACACTCCTAACTCTTACATTAACTTAACCAGAGTATTCTCAAGACAATAAGTTGTTATTGTGCTGAATAAACAAGACACCCTGCACTGTGCAGGTTAGTTACATGCTTGATCAAACTAGACAAAACTGTAAAACAAAAAGCAAATGTTCTGTCGCCATGTGGAGTTACAACAAAGACAAAGTGTTCAAACTATCTTTGGTCCAATTTTCCATATGCAGTACTGAAATACCCCCCCCCACCCCCACCCCCGCAATACCAGGTCCACAAACAGGACTGTGATACATAGAAAATAAGTGCAATAAAGCCATATTAGAAAGCTTTGCATTGGTGTGACTGGGTTTGCGCAGGCTCGACTGAAATCCACCACAGGTGTCATCTCGACCATTCTCTACATGCACATCTACGATCTAATCGTTACCTTCACTGAGGTCAAAATCCAACCTGAAGGAGAGCAAAGGCCACCAATTTGTCAGCTCTTGTTTTAAATAAGACATTAACCATTGACGTGCAGCTCTAAACTGCCAGAAGACCACCTCCCATTTTTAAAGGCTGCATCAGTAGAAAGTCTAAATACACTCAGGGGAAAATGTCACTAAAGGGTTCCCAGAGTTTCATCCATGGCAAATAAAGATGAACAGAGCAGGGTTTTAGGGGCTCCAGGTATCAGTTGAAGTATTTCCCTTTCAATATGGGCTTTCCCAAGTTCCTCCTCCTCCAAAAAATAAAATAAAATTTTAAAAAATACGATGACCACCAAGTAGCCCTCTCGCTATGCAGGCTGGACCAGACTGAGCCTACAGGTCCTCTGTGTAGATGATACAGGGACTAGTATCCTCACTCGACTCCAGCTGCACAGTGGAGACAAACCAGCGGCGGGAGCCTGTGGCGTTGTAGTTGAGCGTGGTGCGGTAAGTGTTCTTGGCGTGTTTCGGGTAGATGATGGTGGTGCTCTGGTAGCTGATGGGCTTCTGCCGTGGCTCCAGGTACACCTGGGACTTGTAGCTTCTCCAAGTACAGTTCCGCACCGCCACCACTGTCTCACTGAAAGAGGTGGCTGTGGGAACGGGGGCGCAGTACACCCCGTTGCGGTAATGCTTGTCGGAGTCATACTTGACCTCAGAGTTGCACCTGGAAAGGAGAAAGGTGGCAAACCCTTTAGAAAAATGTAAAATTGATCACTAGGTGGCAGTGTTGGCAAAAGAACACTGATCAAAATGAGTGCACTAAGCTCCACATTGCAACCAAAACTATGTCTTTGTGTCCAAAGTTCCCTTACTTGATTTCCTTCTCTGGTTTGGGGTTCACCTCGATGCTTTCTCCAAAGAACACAGGGTGCATGCGAGTCTTTGGGTCTGTCCCTGTGGAGTTCAGCAGCAGGTAGGGCAGCTGTGCAGAGGAAACACAAGAGTCACAATCTCACAGAAACATCCATGAACTACTGAACTGTTTGTAACCAGCCTGCCAACGAGTCCATTCAAGGAATTCCAGTAAAAAATGCCTGCATGGTTGGGGGTTTCAGCAGAGCCAGAAAGCCAAATTAAAAACACTACAGTTCCCACCCTCTCCGGGAAAACACGTTCCTTGATCCGGCCCTCATTAGAAATTTACCTTGTAAATCGCACGGCTATTACAACAACATCAACAATAAGACAAGAAACACGGCAGTCAGGGCAACACTTCCATTTTAATTCCGATAATTACACTGTGTGGGTCCAGCCAAACGAAGTGTTGGTGGTAACTCTCTCTCTCTCTCTCTGACAAGCTTTCACTGCAGTTCCGGGGGGCTGGAGACGTGTGACCCTGACACAGCCTGTGTGTGGACTGAAAATAGGCTTACAGATGTTGGGCCTACAGTAGTTACAGAAATGCAAAACACACTAACAAGTATGACAGCAGCTGGTAGCCAGATGATGCTCTTAGAAAATGAGGTGATATAGAAAAAACTTTTAGTTTTGCTTGCAAGCCTTCACAGGGAGGTCAGCGGTCTCATGTTATATCAGTTATGTAACTGAAAGTCTCAATTAACAGATAGATGCTATGCCTTTGTAATTTTTATTTATTATTATGTATATTATGGATTTCTGTTTTAATATTAATTCGTCTTTACCTGGCCTTTGTCACTACTCCATCTGTTGTTTCACACAGCTCACCGACATTCACGCACACATATGAACACGCGTACATACTGTTGAGACACCTTCTCACGAATGCTGACTTCAAAACAAATCTATGAACTGACCTCTGATATCTTCCCTGACTATATAACTTATTTTTTTTTATCTGACCAAGAGATTTCCAGTTTACAAAAAAAAGGTCTTATTTGAGAAATTGAAACTAAAAGTTTGGCATTTTTCTTCAAGTCCCTTAAACAATTTATTATCAAAACAGTTGCAGATTTTATTTTCTTTCTACTGACTGACCCATTTATCAACTATTTGTTTGATCTCTAATAGGTTCCTGTATGGCAAATATGATGAATGACCATATTAAGTTCTAATAAACCAAAACTGAGTCTCACAAACGCAGTAAGTTCCCGTAGGAACTACATTTATTATGATGGGATTAATTCAGAGTGTAAGTTTTAAGCAGTGTACAACACCAGATGGGATAAGCTTAACCTCATGTTCATATACTCTACTCATCTAACTGTATGAACCAGGTCTGTTTTAGTACTGACCTTTGACCTGGAGCCATAAGGGGACAAACAGAGCTGCAGTAATCAGAAACACAGATACTGTCATACACTGTGAAGCAACGTTCTAACTGACCGTTTTCTTTGCATGTATGTGTCTAAACACTGAACAATTTGAATCAGATGGCACCCCAACCACAACTCCGGCACCTCTCACATTACACAGGGGAGGCTGTCACATGCTATGGTTTGGCCGCACTTAAGTGCACATGCCACTACAAGGGACGAGCAAGAACAGGCCAAGGGCACAGCAGAACGCTGTGTGAAGCTCGTCTTACCTACAGCCTACGATCATCCCCACACACTATCTTAAAGCTGCAGCTGAACCTGCACAGCTGCTAGTTTCGCCACGCGGGAAGTTCATTTTCTGCTGCTGGCAGTTAATGGTATGAAAAACCTATACGAGTGTGTGTGATTGTCTTCTTTCTGCTGCTCTGGCGCGGAGAGCATCTCAGGTATTTCTCCATGGTGTGTTCTGGCAACTTCTGCAAAGTAAACACTCGTGGAGGCTTGGTCTCCTCCAGGCAGCGGATCCCCCAGCGTGCACACAAAACATAAACCCCCCTGGAAGCACATTTCTGCCCAGGAAAAATAGTCTGCAGCTGAGCAACCCACACAATGCACAATGCAGAGCTGCTGAGAGAAACGCCAACTCAAACACCCCTTTTCCAACCCAGGGCTGTCTGTTGAAGTGAAGCCTCTGACTTTACATCCTGAGTTTGCAAGGACAGCGAGGCAGATTTTGAAAAGGTCATGAGATCTGTCTCCTGTCTGTCCTCCTGTCTAATCCACCTTGATAGGTATCCTTCAGCAGGACATGTACTCAAGCTTATTAGGCACCGAAACACCCAAGATTAAAAGACCTCATATTTTTCATGCATCTAGTTGCTTTTGTCAATTTATTCACACGTTAAGTCATGCAGGTTTAAGACTCATTATCCCGCCTCTGCATATATTTGAGCCAGGTTTGGAAACAGACAGGCTGTCTAAGAGTTTATCCTCATTTCATTTAGAAGTGAGAGGTCATCAAACACTTATGCAATGGCCTGCAGGCACTCTAACAAGCCCCTGCACCCCAAAATAGAAGTCGAGGATTGTTCGTAGGTGGCATACAAAAACAACACAAGAATAGATTTGGAAATAGAAATGTATGCGTGTATATCTCCCCTCTACTTACTAACAGACATGCACTCAAATGAGAAACTTCTAAAAATCTATTTCTGATGGAGAGGTTGATTCTTTCCATACGCACAGGCCCACAGACGGGATTAGAAACACAAGCAGGAGCGGCCCTTATCAGGACCGATCTTTAAAAGGGAAACCACAAAGCAGATGAGTCCTACTAATCTGAACCTCCAGAGAATTAGAGGATTTCGCTCTTTTTCTCTTTCAGGCTTCAGCAAACCAATGTCACGCAACTCCCAGGATGCAGCACTGCATTTCTGAGGCCTTCTTTAGACACTTTAAAAGCCACCCTGACCTGCGCCAACATGTTCTTAAGACTTTAGAAACTGGGAGTGACCTGGGAATGATTTTCAATCAAATCAGCCTTGTCACGTCATGTGTGACACAAATTACGGCAGGATGTGTCATTAAAATGCATTTGACCTCTAAAAAAAAGTAGAAAGTGGGGGTCCAACATCAATTATCATTCGTTTTTTACAGAAGACATTCTACTTTGTGTAAGTATCACGTCTGTCCTCAGCTAAATAAGAACAAATATTGCCTTAGGGTGCACTGACCATTTAAGTGGTCCATTAAAAGTATAATTTCTGGAGATTTTCACCCCTTAGATTGAATCATTATTGACAAGTAATAATCATAATGCACATGAGTTATTTGGATTTTTAAAGAAGTAATTCAAGACATTTCAAAAAGTGTGCTTCGTTTCTACTGCTACCACATCCACAGCCATGGTGAAGTGAACGGCATAAATCCAACGAGACCATGGCTTCCAGATGCTGATGTATTTTTAGCTTCAAGCAATCATTCATTTGTTATTCATTTTGAGACTCAGATGAATCAATGTTACGGCATTCTCTCTGTCTCCTGCATCAGTTCTCTCTATTTTCAGCTGCTCATTTAGTGACTCAGGTGTCAATGTTCACAGCTTGGGCGAGACACTTTGAGGCACCCCAAAGGGGCTGTTGATCAATCAGAGGGTTTGCAAGATGATTACCAAGTAAGGCAATAAGAAGAAAAAAATCTGTTACTCTACTTTGACTTTTCTCTATTTGTTGCTTTTCATAATGAGATGCTGTGGAGCAGCGGTTCCCAACATCTTGAAGCCCTGCCAGATGAACTCTGACACCACATGTCATGTTTGAAATGGGTTTATTAGAACTGATTTAAAACTTTTTAACACTATTAATTATATATACAGCAATAATGTTTTTGTTGCACAGTTGAACTAATGTTTAGGTCTGTAGCTCAATATTCCAACTATTTATCTGATACATTTCACTCTAAAGTATTTATCCATTGCTTCTAGCTAACTGTCTCAGCTGTTTATCCATTCATCTGATACTTTAAGCAACTCAAACGCTATTAAAAAATAAGGTTTCAACAGAGGACACATACCTGCTGCCTGCTGCTGCTGGCCTATTTTGAGGTTTTATGGGGCTAAAAGTCTAGCTTACTATTGATTATAACTTAACTAGGATTTGTCTTGGCAGACATGACAGTCCGCTATGTAAATCCATCACAGACCATTATAACATTTTTCTTTCTAGAGAACGAAACCTGTACTCACCTTCACTCAGATACATGCTACTGAGGGAAGAAACTAGTGTTATTAAACTTTCTGTCATTCTGTTGGGAGCCCCTGGTATCCTGGCAAGGACCTCTGGGAGTACCTGGACTCCAGTTTGGAAACCCAACTGCATCTAATCAACTTTGTGACCCTTATGACACCATGTAGGGCCCAGATGATGCACCAGAGTGAAAAAGAAAAAACTGTACTGTAATACTGAGGGTGGATGGCATCTTTAGCACATCAGAAGTTTGCAACTAAGGAATTCCCGACAGAAAGAGAGAGAGAGAGAAAGAGAGAGCTTCCAGATGTTGTGTGAGTGGGACTGAAGTGAAATCTGTTTCAGGCCAAACACTAAAACGCTCTCAGATTTTCAATTTCTCTCACAACAGCGTCATTATTTGGTCATTAGGTCCTTTTATCCTTAAATTCAGGGTGTCCATGAAGTGACTGACTGCAAAATGATTCTGGACACAAAACAGACCCGAGTCACTGCTTTCAGATTACAAAATTGTTTCAAATCATAAAGTAAATACCGCAATCTGTTTCTTACCAGTTTGCCTTCTCTGCTTTCCTTTTTATAATATCCATGATGGCTTTCGACGGGCGTCGTGCAGCTGCCTGAGCGCGACTCGATTAGACCCGGAGAAAGTGAGCAGAAGGGCGGGCTGGGACTGGGGGGCAAACCCGAATCCGGACTGTCGAGCAGCCCTTCCCGGTTCTTTCCTTTTAGGCTATCATCCATCGCTTGTAAATGTAGGTGCCCCACCATTTCTGGGACGGCTCAATTAAAAAAAACACACCAGACGAAGTCGCACTGACAAGTTTTTTCTCTTGAAGCGCTCCGTGCTGCTGAGCTCTCCTGCGGCGAAAAGAAACAATCCTGGACGAACTTTTTCAAGATGATTTCTGTTAGCAGAGAAGAGTAGAAAAAAATCAGGGAATATGCATTTTACCATTGCCTATTCGCTGTGGACGAAACCCCACAGAGTGATATGAATTCAGCCTTTATTTCTCTTCAAACATTAGCCTACTGTACCTGCGCGCCGTGAAGTACCGTTGATCCACCTTTAACGCCACTAGATATTCCAAACAGGCGTAAAAATCAGCGACAAACTTTTAAAAAACCCTTCAAACTTGACGCCAAGGTGAATGTTAATTTTAAAAACTAAACAACAACGTAGTAAAACTCGCGCAAAAACAAAAAGTCGACCGTGCGTCTGGCACCGATCTGGATGAGAGCTCCTCTGCTCTGCTCTGGCTCTGTGAGTGCGAGTGTGTGTGTGTGCGCTCTCTCCGGTGGAGAGCTCCCTCTTAATGATCCTGCCAGGCTTTTTTCCTTTTTTTTTTGCACCTGGATCCAGTCCAGCCCTCATGATCTGGATCGCTGTGTTCAGTGTGTTTCTGTTTAGCATCCCTGCAGAGGTGCCCTTAAGCAAGTTCCCAAATCTCTACCTGCTGGAGGTGGTTGTTTGGTTATATCAATATAACTAATTAGCAGTTAATAATTAGTTAGTAATTGGCAATTCATGAGTTACCAATATTCATAAAGGCAAGTAGCCTAGCCTTAGCCTAATAGTGATAAAAACTAATCATAATAAACAGTTAACTATTTTAACTTATTGTAATTATTTAAATAGTAATTAAATCAATGAAATTAGTCAGTTGGTAGTGATGCAATGATTCATAATTAGCAGTTATGAGTTAATTCCTTTTTTAGAGTTAATAATGATATTAACTGATATTTTTATCCTTTGAGGCTTTAAGAACCCAGCAAACATTTGGACCCTGAAAAAAAGCCAAAATGAAAGTTAAACCGACAACATAGACATCTTCTCAACGTGCAGTCTTCAACTTTTAAAAGTTATTAAATTTCTATATCCTGACATGTTTTGTGAATAACTGTCTTGCAACAATGTCATCAGTGCTTGTGTTGACATCTGCACAACCACTCAATATTCAAGAATTCCTTTGCACATCTGCTTTTTAATGTAAAATAATACATTACAGTATAGTAATCATAATAAATTAATTATAATACACCAGTATTGTCTACTTAACGTGTAACTTATGGCATTAGCTTCGCCAAGCTGGCCTAACATTAGCTAGCTGGCTATAGAACTTTTTATAACTTTGAAAGTTGTATATGAATGCATAAAAATCGTCTGATGTTCTACATTAATAAATAACATACCGATACAATTAAAGAAGTCTGTGTGCGGTTTTGCTGCTCAAGTCAACTGAGTTCTCTTAGAAGGATACAAGACATACACAGAAAGACTGAAATTAGCACTTGAGAGGGACAACAATTCAACACAACTTTATAGTGATTATTATGCAAACATACATTTCCGGTTGCATAGAATATATACTCATACTTATACATACACTCTATAACACTGTTAGGGTATGAATGTATACTTCATAACATACATGCTTTGTAAATCTGGTTGTTGTATGCTGTTGTCTATGGTTTAGGTACCTGAAAGTCATTTCAGCCTGCAGTCACTGAAATGCTTGCAGGGAATTGCAAACATGTTGTTGAGTCCAACATTTTGGCATCCTGGGTGAACTTTTAGTATAATTTCGCCAGGTAAGTCCCATTGAAGTTGGAAACTTCTCTTGCAAGGCAGAAATGGCCAAGACCACAGCATAAAATGTTGCAGACAAAACAATACAAAGTCAGAAAATGGATAAGACAATACTGAAAGCACATTATACTAAAATAAGACAGAAAGTAAGGTAAGAACAGACAATTTACAGAGAAGCGATTTGCCATATAATTTACAGTTCAACGATAACAGATTAATCAATTCAGATTCCTTTTGCAGATGTTTCCAAGTCACTGGAGCAGAAAACATGAAGCCTTAGGATAATAATTACAATAATAGCTCATATTCTGGACAAACCCTGATGGAAGTTTGCCCAGTTGACGTACTGTATGTGTATGCTCGGTCAAACCTCAGTGGTTTTAATTTGGTAATAAATAAAAGTCCAACATATGGAGACACTGTCCATAATCACAAAACAGTAAAACAGTGACAGCAACTATCTTATCCTGGCTTCAAAGAGAAATAACTCTTAAAGTCTGAAAAGTCTCAGTTTCTTTAAAACGTTGTCTACTGCCTAAAAGAAAAACATTCTTCTAGCCAAATAACAGCTGGTCTCACCCTGAATTGTATGTGGGGTTCCCTTCTAGAAAATAACACCAGTTTGCTCTGTCTTCAAAATATTCCAGGCAGACTGTGCATCTAAGAGAGAAGCTCCACAGCTTTACAAAACCGTATCATCTGCGTAATGTTGAATATTAGTTCCATGCGCATTAACGCCTTAATTATTTATGTTAACATTTTTTACCCAGGTGCGGAGCTCATCTCATGTGAAAGCCAGATCAGGAAAGTTATCATAAAGTTATCCAGGAGTAATCCAGCTTTATTCGCATGTAATCTTGCTGTGTGAGAAAAACCCCTAATGTCCTTGTTTAGTTTCAGTCATTTCAGAAATCATCAGCTAACTGCCGTTGTGGAGCCATTTGCTTTGGTTCAGAATGTCACTGAAAGGATTACTGAAGGATTACTACAGTTATTTTCATAATGCCTGTGTGTATATGTGTCCATAACCATTCTGCCTGGTGTATATCAGGACTGGGTGGAGATGGGTGGGAACGCAGTGCATCCACCAGTCGCTAAATGAGTGTATGTCTCACACACACGCACACACACAGGGCAGACAAAACAGACCTGAGTGAACAAACAAGCAGGCGGCAGACAGCAAAGTGAAGAATAAGAAGAATTGAATCTTTGTTTATGTTTCCCTCCACATAATGTCTGCGCTTTTCGTTAATACGGTTACTCTTACCAACAGCAGCTCGGCCAAAAGGTAAATCAGAGCACAAAGAAGAGCCAGCGCAGAGCTGCAGAGAGCTGACTGTGTGTCTTAAGAGGTTGATTGTATCTTTGATGGTCCACCAGCTCTCCATGGTGATTACCACAGATTGCCACGGAAATCATGCGTGATGTTTTTTTGTTTTTTCAGTTCTCATAAAAACTAAGATAACTTTGTTTGCCTTTGTTGTCTGGAAGATATACTTAATCGCATGCCTGTTAAGCTTGTGCAGCTGTAATTTTGTTTGCTGAGAATTGTTTTCCCTCCTCTGTGTTATTGTTTGGAAGCCGCGGCAGGAAGCGGAGGAGCGGCGCTGGGAGTTTTACTGGCGTTTCCCCGTGTCAGGTGTGTTTTTGTGTCATCATGTCCATCTTAAAGAGCACATCATGTTGATCCTCAGGCATTCAGGGTATTAGTGTGGAGATCTGGTAGAGATTAGCCAAAAAATAGTTGGACACAGATGATGTTTGTGGGTGCAGGCGTGTCTGTGTGCACACTGCACGGGAAGAGTTGCTCAATTGCAGCTTCTCTGAGGGAGAACCCAGAGAGGTATGAAAGTGACCAGAGTGACTATGCTGGCATTTTATTTTGGTAAACAAAGGTTGGTTTGTTCACATATCCCCAACAAAGATATTTTCTTACAGTGCCACGTAGCATTGCAGATAGTTTCGGCTTTATTTCATAATGCTTCCATCTATCCATATTTACCTGCACCCAATACAGTTGAGGTAAATGGAATTTCACATGTGGTTCTTACAGCTTTGAAAATTTATATTTACAGCTAAAAAAACTCTTAGTATTTATACTGAAAACAGTTTTTTGCCGTAGAATATCCAAAGTAATGACGACATAGTTTCTATAGAGATATGTTGCTAATGAATTTTGTAAAGATCATTTTAAACCAGCTACATTCATGTTCCCCAGAGGAGGACTCTAATTACTTTGGTCATTTCCTGACTTTTCATTTTGGCACCATAATCAGGTCAGAGTTTTATTTCGTCCTATACTTTAACCAAATACCTGCAAAACCAGTATGTTCTATTCCTGTCAGACTGATTAGCATGTTAGCATGGTAATATTTGCTAAAGTAAGATGGCGATTATTATACATAACCTGTTGAACATCAGCATAGCATTGTTATTGTGAGCATTAAGCTCAAAGCACCTCTGAGCCAGAGTACAACCTCACAGAGCTTGGATGAAGACTCTTGTGTTTAATGTTGTGGACCACAATTGAAATTCTGTTCAACTCCATTATATTGGGGTGGAGGCACATTTCCCTGAGACGGATATTTCAAAACCTGGCCAAATAAAACCAATACTGAGTCAATGGCTAGATACCTCAAAACAAACCACAAAAATATGTTTTTGTGTTATTTGGACAAACTGACCTGACCTGACCAGAGCTGTTAAATGGCTTGTTTATGAAACTGGGTGAAAATGACAGGCTGTTTTCTTGTTATCATAACAACACTATTATTTGTCAATTAAAGAAAACGTCTTATTATAACCTCCCTGTTTATTAAAGGCCTGCGCAGGACACATGTCGGTTTTAACATGCAGTTTCTTTCCCATGTTCACCTTTCCACTGTATGACCACATTTAGCTCACATGTGACAACGTCATGCACAAACAGATACAGAAAAAAAGGTCACATGGTGTGTTTTTACTGTTGTTTGGTTTTCATTGTGCATGTGTCAGCATGCATCACCTGGTTTCACTCAATCACCAATGCCACTTTTGTATCACAAGGTAGCTGATTTAGCTCCAAGCTGGCCAAACAAAGACAAAAGTCATATTTTGACCAGACACAGTTAATGTTTTCTCCATGTGTTCTCATCCATCAGAGGTGCAGGGAGATTAATTATTCTTTTAAAAACTGTAATCATTCATTTAGGGGATGGCTGTTTGCATGCCTGTTTTATCCTTCTCATTCATTCAGTGAAGTTACTTTGACACTGTATTTCAAACCTATGACCTTTCCACTATGGATGGTAGTCCAGGACTTTATGAAACAGACACCTTTACCATTTGGCCAAGTGGCAACAGCCTCCCATTATGTGGGAGTTGATTGAGGAGTTCTGCAATCAAGATTCTGTTCCTGAGAGCTTTGAGATCCCAGGAGGCTTTGAGACAGACACAGAAGGGGGAGGACAGCCAAGCCGTCTGCTGATGATTCATTTTTTAGTGCTCCATCATCCTTTCCCTCACAGGGCAATCACTCATACTCTCCCATACACACACACACAGATAAAAACATGAAGACACAAACATGTTTGCATAAGTAGATGCAGGAATTCACATACATACTGAGACATGGAGACAGTCAGACACACACACACATTCCTGATCTGCAGAACTCTTTGAGTCACTGCATTCACATAACGTTGCCAAGCCAGCTGTGTGAACTGGG